AACATAGTCCATCTTCTAGAAGACTTCATGTGCTACAGGGTTATGTCTTTTTTCCAGGTCATCTAGGGTTATGACTCAACCATAAAACATGAAATCATGAAAACAGATAAGTTGGTTAGGGGCAACAAACCAACAAACTGTGATCATAACGGTGGTCACATATATGCCAGAATATGAGACCATGAGAGTCGTAACCCTACAACCTAATCCAGCTTATTAGGTTGTCCATTTAAATATCACACTTCATCTCACCTAATCACTCAAGCTCAACTCTATTTTGGTGGTAACATACATACAGTTGGCATCTTTTTACTTTTAACACTCAATCTGATGACCTAAGACCCTGGCCATTGCTGGAGTAGACTAGCTAGGTCGCCAAAAGGCATATCGGACACAACCAGTGCTACAAAGACCGGATCCATTGGCTCAAGCAACATGTTGCAAAAAGGTAGCTGCTTACTTTTTACAAATTTCTTCTAGGCTAACCGGAACCATTTTTAGAGACATTATGAGTTGCCTGTCGAGCATGACAACACAAACTTCTCTACTACTAGATATAGTAACAATGACGGCCCAGAACTCAAACCGTGAACTGAACCAGTCAAGTGGTGAGATGCAATGAGGTGAATAACAACTGTGTGAGGAACCTCTTCAGCTGGTTTGCAGAAGAAGTTACCTGTAAATACAGCTTACTCCACTAGGTAGGAACACTGGTCTGTGACCCACCGTTGGAGTTGTCACTCTTGGTCCATATGTGCACTATGACCAGGACATCACATCTGACCACATGTCCAGAAAAGAACACATTAAGAGCACAGAGAAGGCATTGTCACAATAAGGAAATTGGTATTTTCCCCTTAAACACATTTACGGGTCACACACCTCCCAGTTGAACTAAGTCGCAAAAGTTATCAATATGACAACCTTAAGAGTGGTTTTGGGTAACGTAACTGTCAGCTTTATACCTGACATAATAAATGAGTGTCCCAATGCATTTTTGAGTTGATGCACTGAGGAAAACATTTTTGAACAATTTCTTGGAATCTGTTTTGTAACACTTATATTGCCATATACATAGTTTCTGCCGTTATGGGTCACAGCCTTGAAGGAGAGCCAATCACAACTGATTATATCCCACCGCTGCCACCAAAATGTAACGACCCTCACTCTGCGTGGTAAGCGCGAAAGGTAGTGGTAGCGTTAAAGGGTTTATGAGTGAGTGGAAGAATCGTCACATTATTACCGGGTCCGTGTTGTGATTGTATATGCTCTCAAGGGTTTTACAGACATGATTGGTTGAATGGCAAAATGGCTGAATATGTCGCACTGCGACATAAAACATACACCTAACTGACAAAACAGACGATTTAGTTTAAATATAAATGATAACATAATTATGGGTTTATTTACAATATGATTACAAAGTGAGTATAGTAATTATGACAATAACACACATAGTGTGGAAATATATATATATATGAATTAAAGTTCTGATATTGTGACACATGGATGATATATGGTGCAGCGTTACTCAATGGCAACGGGTACCCATATTCAAGGATTATGCACAAAGGTGGATCGTTATGCAACTAAGATCCCTGAAATGTGGTTACGATAATATACATAGTATTTCCTATCAAGTACAATACATACTCAAGTAAGATTACATAATTACCAAGAAGCTGATACTGCAATTACACATTATTGAGCTCATATTCATAAATCCTACATTAACTACACATATAACATACAATACTTTCATCTGGGAGAGTGTGTGACACAACTGGTGACCAAATAAACATACATAGTAATATGTATTACCATGACTTTGTAACAACCTTTGACAATGAGAACAACAACAACTGGCACCTTGGAGTGTACGACATGACGCAAAGAACCGAATTACAACCACTGACAAAATGTAAGACCGACTAAAAATATCAACGTAACATTACGTATTCACAAGCTTGGGTGAAACATACCAAATAATGACTATAACAATAACTTGGACAACATTTGATTCAACATACCAATTAGTGATAACAATGTTTACATGACTGCTCATTATGCAACATGCTAGGAAAATTAATGTCATATAACATGTGGGTGCAATCACATGACATGGATATACATGTCACGCAACAAGTGGGCGCCTGCTATGAAACATGCCGACGCGTGCTACATGACATATGGGTGCGATTACACATCATGTGGGTACATGCTATGTAACAAGTGGGTGCATGTTATGTAGTAAGTGATCAATCATGAACATGAGTAAAACTGTATACCCAAGTTGGTAGTAGTACATCACCAACTTATAATATTCCATGACACAACATAAGGGTGGGTGCAACAACTTGTATTCCCTTTGGTAATATTGGGTGCAACAAATTGTATCTCCCTAGGGTGGCTTTGGGGAAAGCCATACATGCATACAGTATATAAATTATAGTACGACCTTAACGCAACAATACAATAAAACCGACACTCCAACCATCGATAAACAATAGAACAGTTCAAGTTCAAAACTAGTATCAGGCTAGACCATAAACTAGGGTTCCATTAGGGTTTAACTCAACACCATCATCTATCTGATACTAACTGTTGCCCAACAGTAAGACTTGAACTCCATAAGCCGACTACATACAAGCGAGACATTACGTAACATACAGCTGCACAGGGTAGTTTGCAGTGTACCAAAACATGATCAATTTGGGTATTGATCATCAACAATGAAGCAAACTGACATGATCAAACTGGGTATGTTGATCATCAACCATGTAAACCAAATATGGGTCAAATAATTCCAATGTGCTTTTGCATTAACAAGTCAAATCCAAATCCAAATGTAATACTTGCCAATTTCACCACACTCAGTATACATAGAGTGCTTACAGCTTAAAATAAGGTGTAGGGTGTCCATCCACATGAGGTATTTGCATCAGCATATGAGTGGTTGGTTGGTGGTGGTACGCAGTTCGCCATTTGACAGACGTGCTGACATTTGCAAGTGATGCGGGAGGGGTGAACCTCAAACTTCAAGCCTGATTTGGGGGTCAGACTTCGTGCAAATCCTGTTGTAATCACCTCATGTGGACGGACGACTTACTGGTGTAAATCGTGAGACAGTTAAGACACCTCGACGGTCAACGATAGCGACATTTTGAGTGAAGATAGCGGAGCAAATCACGAATGATTTACTCGAAAAACATAAGATGGCTACCTGTCTTCTGCGCATGCGCAGCGACTTACATAAATTACGAACTTATGTAAATCCACAAAAACGGCCATAACTTCGCCAATACGGGACTGATTGCAAAGTTTAAAGTACCTATAGAAAGCTGATTTTATGTATTACGTGCATATTCTACTAGAATAATGATAAAACATAGTAAACAGGGTGAAATATAGACCAGAAAACTACGACAGTAACCTTGACCTTTTTACGTCAAAAGTACGAACGGAACTAAGAATAATTTGAGAATTATGCCAAAAGTACGAACGGGACCAACAATATCCACAAATTACTAGAATAGGACACTTTAGCACGGACATCTAATACGTTCTTCGAATTGCCCTGGAACTATATTTATACCAGGACTGGCATCCAGATCCAAGTATTTTTTAAGACCGCCGACTCTCGTTGGGCTATTTATCCCTATTGACTCAGTTGTTCATATAAATTTACGTACCTTAGATGCTTTGTAATCGACGTAGATAGAAAATATTGTTTCCTAAATTGTTCTGGAAAGCGATAATTATAACTAAATGTACTTTGAACAGGTCGACTGACAAAAAAGCCGGGCTTCTGACACGTCTCGTTCTCGCTCTCAAACAAAACGTGAAGAACGTGACGTCACTTCCGAATCGTAGCATTCAAAATAAGTAGCGTTTAAATCCCAATACCATATGTAACATATCGGTGGTCTAGGGGGAGAATCCTCGCTTAGCACGCTGGAGGCCCGGGTTCGAATCCCATATTCGCTCTTTTGTTTTTTTTCGAGGTCGTTATCTTCATCGTCTAGTTTACGAATACCAAATGTCGATGTGATGTTTTAATTGATAAATACGAATTCCTTACACATTTTGTTATCTTATTGTGAAATAGCAAACTAAGAGATATCTTTACTCGCTAGGAATTAACATAATATTATTTGAAGCGATTTTAGAAAATTTTGAAACCGCCATCTTGGTAATATTGATGACGTGATCACCATCGGTCAAGGTCAGGTCAAAAGTCATCCATCTTGCCATTAGCCCCGCGGATTGTTACCAGTCGACAAAAAACGATGAAATCACGTTAAAAATAAAATATACACTTTAAAATTGAGGCTGATCGAATATGACAAGACTCCATTGAATACAGCTGTGCAATTTACAGTCACCAAGATGAGCTAATTTCGGAGAGATTCGGGAATTAAAAAAGGTAACTTCATTTTTTTCATTCTGGATTCCCAACTTATTGTATTTGAAATCCCAGAATCTCCTTTCGCCAGAAACATTCTCTCTGACTGTGCACTTTAGTGGATAATAACGATCTAAACATGTATGTGAATATATAAACTACATTAAGTGAAACCCAACAGTGGTGAGACATCGAACTGACATTACTGAATATCAGCAAACAAATAAGTAAATCTGTTGGGTTATCACACAAAAATCAAGGATTGGACTTACAGACTTTTGAAGTTAAAATACCAAGAATTCTGTGGAAAATTGGATTTCTAGTGCGCATAAGTAGTTATTCACTCTTCACTTCCAGAATGTTTTTAGAATAACTTGAGAAAATGACCTGCAAATGAGATATCACATTTTACCACGTAGTTCCCAAATTTTCTGACATGTGTGAATTTTATGTTCCGTTAAATGATTTTTTTAGAGTGATTTGTCTTTACAAAAAATTGGTGTAATTCTGAATAGAATGATATTACATGTGCACATACATAATGTTCTGTATGACTGTGTAGCATTTTCTCAGCAAATAATTTGTGAACTTCTAGATTCACTAGTCAAGGTTGGACTTCTGCAGAGGCATGGGATATGAACACTGTATATAGCAACTTGCCACAAAAAGAAATACAAAGGTAAAAGATGACCATCTGTATATATTGTTTAATTCTTTGCAATGGTGCAAAAAATGATGATTTCTGACTAGTCTTGCTCAAAGACTGTATCCACCCCCCCCCCCCCCCCGTCACCTTCACTCTCTTTACCTGGCAATAAACAGAGAGAAGGATAAAGGGGGGGGGAGTACAGGGTCTTTTAAGCAAGACTAATTTCTGACCAATCGAAATGATAATATACATGTATTGAAAAAATGAAACTTGAACTGCCCTTTGAAAAGTCATTGTAATTATTCATAACTTACATGTATAAGTAACACAACTTCATAAGCCATGAGATTATTGGACTATAATAACACAAAGAAAATACAATTATGATGATAATAAAAATTAATAAAAAACAAAGAAGTTGTATTTGATGAAGCAAACTTTTAATTTAAATTTCAGGATTGAAAAGCTAGAGTTCCTGGATGAAAGAGAGTCATTTGAGCAACTATTACACCACTACTGCTTGTGCTGGGCATATATAGATGGTGCTGGTGTTGGACTAGAAAATATCAGTGTTGTCAATGCAACTTGATAAAAAAAATTATCAGATATTTATATACAGCTTTTATATACAGATATAAGACGATTTAACTATAGTACATCCCCAGTAAATATGCCAAATAGAAGCTTGCCTATGTAAATGAACTGAAGGATTGTCTTGAAATAATATGTCTTTTGGGCTGTAGGGTGTACTCATTTACAAGTTTATGTTTCACCTTGACATTTCATTCTTATTCTCACAGGGTGTCATTAGAAGGTTTTTGTAATGGGCATCAGCTGGTTATTGTTCGTAACAACCTACATGCACTCCATGGAATGTGTTTGAAGTCCAATAATATGAGGAGTTAAAGCTTTTGAAAACACCAATTACGTACATGTAGGCTATATCGAAATCTAAAATGTTCGTTTTTATTTTTATAATTTTTTAATGTCACAACTTTATAATGTTTATTATTTACATAGTACTATGATTTCATCTTAACTCTGGAAGTATTAGTGTCACCTAGACTAAGATTTATGAGTTGATTTGATCATTGTTATACAAAAATGATGTTCATTTTTTGTCAGCCCTGGGTGATCAGTTTCAAACGTGAAAAGTATGAGTGCATCACTGCATGTACTAACCTACATGCACAAGGTTGAAGGCAAAGTACATTGTCAGGATGGGTTAGGACTAGTGTTGTCGCGATGTGCCATAATCGTACATCGATGCATCGGCAATTTTCAGTAGTAAACATCGATGCACATTGCGATGTACATCGAGAAAAAGTTCGAGAAAAGTGCACTGAAATACCGAACGCTAATGCACTAAAAAAATATCGAACAGAACAAATTAATAAGAGTACGCTGGTACATCCGGGAACATAGTAACTGTGAAATGAAAGTAAAGTAATTTTTTAGATTAATGGTTCATTTCGACTAGCTAAAACAGTTTTAAAGCGAAAGAATATCAGAAAACATTTGAAAATGAAAAAAGGTGAGCAATTTGCGTCAAAATAAGATAAGAAAGGGCGATTTTTAGCAAATTAAAATTTTTTAAAAACATCGATGTTTTGTTTCAGACATCGATGCATCGCCAGAACCAGCTTTGGCGATGTATATCGCGATGTATCGATTAATCGCGACAACACTAGTTAGGACATGCATGAATGCTTTTAAATCCAATGAAGAATGATAAAAGCTTCTTTATTGTAATTAGAATATACTATCCCTCCTTTATAAAAAATGACATTGTCATTGTTGAAACTATAATGCACAGTCATCACAGGCATAGCCAAGGGGGTGTTTTTTGTAAAATTTGTTGAAAATACATTAACAAATTATAGTTTGAAATGCTTGAATGTACTCAAGGGGCGAGGAGGAAAATTCTCAATAAATGGTGTATAGTTGGTTTGGCAGCATTTTCAGTTAGGGGAGAGTCTTGGATGAAACTTCCACCTAGGTGATAGCTTCACAGAGTGGTAGGAAGTTCTTTTTTTTGAGGAGTTAGCCCCCCACCCCCCAAAAACACCCCACCCGGGGAAAAAAATTGTTCACAGTAAATAACCTTAGATATTTTGATGTTTGTAAGTGACATACATAGATATTATATATATGAATCACTTGCAGTATAATTGATTCTGATTGCTCCTAAAGAAATTGAATATTAGTACAAAGTGTGTATCCCAGGGGGCAAATTCGTGACTCATTTTCTTACTATTTTGATCCTAACTTTTCAATTAGACACTTTAAGAGGTTGAAAAAATTCATGGGAAGTGCCCAATAGCAAGGTTAGTAAAACTGAAAGTTGCAAAGCCATGGAAGGGGTAGGAGCTGAGAAAAAAATTGTTGATTTTTCGAAAAATTTAACATTTTTGACAGTTGGATTTTGTGTATGACTATAGCTGACCCCTATAGTTTCTAGATCCATCCCTCTATAATGATATTTATGGTTTTATAGTGTGGAACTAAGATGTTAAACATAATTTAGATGGGTTTTAAGGAAGTTAAAGGTTTTAAACAAGTCCAAAATTTGAAAAATTGTAAATATAAGGTTTCAAATTTACATATTCCAGGTATAGCCATGGCTGACCCCTATAGTTTCTAGATCCATCCCTCTGTGATGATATTTATGGTTTTGCCATGTGGAACTAATATGTAAAACACAATTTAGATGGGTTTTAAGAAAGTTTAAGGTTTTAAACAAGTCCAAAATTTGAAAAATTGTGAATATAAGGTTTCAAATTTACGAATTTCAGGTATAGCCACGGCTGACCCTTATGATTTTTACATCCATACCTCTATGATTAAATATACAGTTTTAGAGTGTGGGACTAAGATTTAACATATCCAAAATGAATTTTAAGGAAGTTTAAGGTTTAAAACAAGTCCAAAATTTGAAGTATTGTAAATGTTAGGTTTCAAATTTATGAATTTCAGGTATAGCCAAAGATGACCCTTATGGTTTTTACATCTATACCTCAGGGATGAAATATATAGTTTAAGAGTATTTAACTAAAATGTAAAAGATACCTAAGATGAGTTTGAAGGAAGTTCAAGGTTTTAAACAAGTGCAAAACTTGAAAAATTGATCTCAAAATTGGTCTCAAATTCACGTTATTCAGGTACAGCCTTGAATGAGCCCTGATAATCGAAGGTTATGAGCATAATAGTATCAACTATGATATCATAGCTTAGAGACCAGGTGTAGAATATATACCTGTTGCAGCAGTTAGGCAGCAGTTAGTCTGCTGCATATAGATGGAGTGAACTACAGTAAAATCTCTCTAATCTGAATGCTACTGGTATTTGGACCAGCTAAAAGCATTCTAATTAGGAGTGTTTGAATTTTGAGGTTTTTACATCTACAATACGAGTTCTGGATTTTGAAGAAATATGAATGCATTCTCAATGAAAAATATTAATAATATTTATACTGACCACATAAAAAGCTTAATAGCATTCCAAAATTCAATTCAAAAGTTTTGATATCATAACAATTCAGTGTTAAACTGACAATATTTGAGCAATTTTGTAAGAATTTTGATATTTGGTAAAAAGAGTTCAAGTTAGACAGGTTAATTTTTCAATTAGATATGATGATTGGTAGGTATTCACAATAGTCAGATGTTGGGATATACAGGTTTCACTGATGATATATCATTTATACAAGATGATGAACTAGAACTACTGTACTATGTGCATTTGATAATTTTTACCACAATGTTAATACTATGTCAGGAAAAGAAAGCACCCATGACACTTTGCTTGTAAAACTTGAAAATCAACAACACTATAAGATTTGATAAGGTGTCTACCAAATGAGTAATCCACATAAATTCAAATACACGCACTTGGCATGCTATTCCCTATGATGCTATTTATAGATTTTTTGTCAATGTTATTGATCAGCTTATTGGTTTCATTACTTTCTCTAGAATCTAAAATTGACATTGGGTTTATGAGAGTGGTAAATTGGAATGCAGTTATATGAAGTATTGAATTGGCTGGAATTGGACACAAGTTGCCTAGCTATGTGTGCGTAAACTATGATCTTATGTGGATACAAACAGTTCGTTTGACAATGATCATCTAACTGTAAAATCAGAACTTAAAAAGGGGTTTGAAATGGAGATCGATGAAACCATACCACAAATTGATAAAACTTTCGTGATCGATGCAATGGCTATGACAAAAGGAAAAAAATTAAGATTAACTTATATGTTGAAATTTGGAGAGTTTTGGAAAGCTATATTTGACTACTCCATCAAATCTAGTAAATGAGCCCAAAGAATAGATTTCATATTAGACTCCTAGTAGTCTCCATCAGTAAAGGATTCTGAAAGAATGCGAAGAATGGATGCTTCCCCTACTGAACTTTAATCCAAAGAAGAAATTATACCATTACCTAAAAATATGAATACCTTTTGGCCAAGTCATATAATACAAATTTTCAAAGATTACAAAGAAATTTAATAAAGCAGCATTCTAAAAGTGTGCCAAATGTCAAAATTGTTTTAAGTGGAACTATTGGAGAGAACTTAAATATCTGTGAAAATGATAACTGAAATCCCCTGTTAAATTCTACTCTTGAAGAGGCTGATTTTAAACTTATTCACTCTGTTTTACATTCAGCAGGAGAACATGTGGGACTGCAGTAATTTGCATCAAATGACACTGATATTCTAATTTTATGACTATCATTTCAATAAATGTAAAAAATTCTTCAACTGCTAGAAAACGTCATCTGCAAAGTCAGTATGTAAACATTTTCTACAATGTCTGTTTGTTTAATACATATTGATCATATATATCACCATATATACTTTTTTGATCTACATGAAGATTTTAGTGTGACAAGACCCTTTTACCCTGGAGTTCCTAATCTCATTGCACTAACGGGAGTTTCTATGGTATGATCCTTATAATCCTTATTTTCCCAAATAATTACTGTTGCCTGATGACAAGTTGTTTTATTGGGAGTGTAGTGATTATAATTTGATAATTTATAATAATATTTTGTATTAGAAGATGATCATTGCTTAATTACAGTATGGGCATAACAAAATATAGAGAAATCATGTTTCTTTTAATTAACCATGTCTTTATGTATTTTGACAATGTAGATCATTACATCGAACATGTTGATGTGAAAAAGTAAAAATGCTATATCACATAATAAATATCATCAAATAATAATTAATTAGTTATAATCCATTTAACCAATCAATATTACTACACTGTATACGATATCCCTAGGAACAGTTACACTTTAGGGGGGGGGGGATTTATTAACCTCTCACCCCCTTAGGAACTCTAGGGTAAGGTCCTCAACTCTAAGGATTTTTCTTTTAACAATACTTGTAACATGGATCAAACCTGACCACAATATTTTCAACATCTAATTTCTAAGCTAAAAAGTCTTACATTCAAAAAAGAGACATCAAAGGCAATACCTGAAATCGAAAAGAAGGACTGAAAGTATCACAACAGATTTAGGATAGTCACATGTTGGATTTTTGCTATTTTCTGAGGATTTGAGGAGGTGCATATGTTAGGCCAATGCATTTCCTCTAGGAAAAGCACTCATAGAGATGATAAAATAATTTCTATTTGAGACAGCATGCAAATAACCCACCCACATGCATCAATATGTTGTGTTTTGACACACAGTTAACCCCTTTAAAGAAATAATGCATTCCATCAGGGGTTTAAAAGATCAAATATGGGTGACCAAAATTAAGCTGAAAGTAATGGAGCACATGAGTTTTCCCTATGGGAAAATAACAGGAATATATTGTTTTCTGCTTTATCTAAAAGAAATTTATTATTCCTTTTTATGGGTTATCTTTGTCTCAAAACGCAACATATTGATGCAACAAAAATTGAAAAAGCATGGGTGAAAGGGCTTGAAAATCAGGACAACATTTTCGAAAAAAACATGTGGGTGGATTGTTTGCACCTTCGCTGTCTCAAAGTCCAAACTATTTTATCACCTCTAAGAGTTCTTTTCCTGTAGGTAATGCAATGGTCTATCATATGCACCTGCTTAAATCCTCGGGAAACAGACAAAATCTAACATATGACTGTCTGAAATATGTTGCGATACTTTCCGTGCTCCTTTGAGACCTGATATTTCTCAATTTTTTGAACATTGCACTAGTTAAAATTCTTAAACTTCCTTAAAATTCATCTTTGGTATGTTTTTTTACTTCTTAGTTTCACACTCTAAAAATATATGTTTCAGAGGTATGGATGAAAAAGCCATAAGGGTCATCCATGGTTATACCCAACAATTCATAATTTTGAAACCTTATATTTACAATTTTTCAAATTTTGGACTTGTTTAAAATCTTTAACTTCCTTAAAACCATCTAAATTATGTTCTACATCTTTAGTTCCATACTACAAAACCATAAATATCACCAAAGAGGGATGGATTTAGAAACTATAGGGGTCAGCCATGGCTATACCTGGAATTCGTAAATTTGAAACCTTATATTTACATTTTTTCAAATATTGGACTTGTATAAAACCCTTAACTTCCTTAAAACCCATCTAAACTATGTTTTACATCTTAGTTCCACATTATAAAACCATAAATATCATCATAGAGGGATGGATCTAGAACCTATAGGGGTCAGCCATGGCTATACCTCGAATTCATAAATTTGAAACCTTATATTTACAAATGTTTCAAATTTTGGACTTGTTTAAAACCTTTAACTTCCTTAAAACCCATCTAAATTATGTTTTACATCTTAGTTCCATACTATAAAACCATAAGTATCATCATAGAGGGATGGATCTAGAAACTATAGGGGTCAGCCATGGCTATACCTCGAATTCGTAAATTTGAAACCTTATATTTACAAATGTTTCAAATTTTGGACTTGTTTAAAACCTTTAACTTCCTTAAAACCCATCTAAATTATGTTTTACATCTTGGTTTCACACTATAAAACCATAAATATCATCATAGAGGGATGGATCTAGAAGTTATAAGGGTCAGCTATAGTCATACACAAAATCCAGCTGTCAAAAATGTCAAATTTTTCGAAAAATCAACAATTGTTTTCTCAGCTCCTACTCCTTCAATGGCTTTGCATCTTTCAGGGTTTCTAACCCTGCTATTGGGCACTTCACATGAATTTTTCCAACCTCTTACAGTGTCTAATTGAAAAGTTAGAATCAAAATAGTAAGAAAATGAGTCACGAATTTGCCCCCTGGGGTACATACTTTGTACTAATTTTCAAATTCTTTAGGAGTTATCAGAATCAATTATACTGCAAGTGATTCATATATATAAAATCTATGTATGTCACTTACAAACATCAAAATATCTAAGGTTATTTACTGTGAACAATTTTTTTTCCCCGGGTGGGGTGTTTTTGGGGGGTGGGGGGCTAACTCCTCAAAAAAAAGAACTTCCTACCACTCTGTGAAGCTATCACCTAGGTGGAAGTTTCATCCAAGACTCTCCCCTAACTGAAAATGCTGCCAAACCAACTATACACCATTTATTGAGAATTTTCCTCCTCGCCCCTTGAGTAATGTACAAAATACATTGTAAATTTTTTTTAATTTCTGGGGGTGAACACCCAAATCCCCCCTCTTTTTTTGGGGCTTGTTTCGCTCGCAATGTTGCAGGTCCAAAAAATCATAACCCCCCTGACAATTGCTGGTTACGCCCCTGGTAATGATGTCAATATTTTACCAATAATGGCTTTGCATGGTGCATTTGATACAACAATGCAGTGAATGCACTGTCTGCTTAGTTGACCATATACCTTGAATTAATGCACAGAAATACTCTAAGCTGATTGGCTGAGACACACTTTATACTTTATATGTTAGAATGTGTCAGACCCCCTTTCAAATATATGCCATGTCCAACTAAATGTAATATAAATGTATTTCACATGTGAAGTTGATAATAGAATTGAACATTACATTGATTATACGTACCAAAAACTAAGAAGACCCTTTAACTGTAGGTTTCACTTATATTTCTAGAGTTGAAAAGTTAAAAAGGAAAACATATTTTTGTGTACAAATATCCTTGTGCCATTTTCAATAACTTTAACTCAAGCATTATTAGACTTAAACAAAATTGCAAGCTATCCCTAATTAAGTCTTCGGATCCCGATTACATCTGACATATGAATGTAATTGCCACCATAACATTTAAATATAAGTACATGTATGACTTTGACACTTGTTGATTTCATCTAATTTGCTGTTCTGTAAGAGCTTATATCAGGATTGGTGTTTTGACCCATTAAGATTTTAACATTTGTTCATTCTGTCCCCCTTTCCCTGTCCTGTTAAGTTCATAGTTGATGATATTATTATAAGGAAAGATTTTCAACATAAACTGAGGCCTGCTGGCAACATTAAATTAAATCATTACTTTTATTTTTTTTTTTGCACATAGCTTACTTTATTCATAAGTTTGATACAAATAAAAAGATTATCTTGGGGGGGGGGTGAGGTCTGGTTCCAGTCATATATTGTTCCTCACTATTGCTCGAAGATTAACCATAAACTGTTCCCTTTAAGTGCATTGACTGAAATGGTTTGCAGTTGTTAGCTTATTTTTAATTATTTACCTAATTTATATTGTAAAAGTGTATCTGTTATAGATTATGTAATAAGAGTTTACCTTTTCTTGATTTGTGTACACATATTGTATAAATGTAATTATACATGTACAGAATAAAAAGCTTTATTAATATGTGGAACTATGTATGATTCGTGTTTTTTACCATCTCAAATAAACATGTATCTCCCAAAAGATCCACAATATCTTACTGAATGGTAAACAGTGACTGTCAATACACGCAAACATTTTCTCAAATGATAAAATATTTATAGAAAAAATAAACATTTGAATGTAAATTTTTCTTGGAAGTTTTCTTGGAATAACTTTTGCTGTGGCATCTCGAATATTGGCAGTAGCAGTAATGTTAGGCCATCCAAAGTTAATTATCTTTAATGTCCTGACAAAGGGCAAAATTTTAAGAGGGTGGGAAGAGAAAAAAACAAGCTTGGGGCTTACGAAGAAAGACAGTCACTCTCCACAGTCTGGTCATCATGCTCGATGGTCTGCAGTCAGTCTTCTACAAAAAATTAGGGATAGAAAATAAAACTAAAGAATCTTATGACATTAGCATCAAGGTCGTTATTAAAACGAGTTTTACCAATTTAAATCATGAAAAACGCACACAAAAAAAACATTTAGATGTCAATCAAATTATTAACAAGGGCATGACTGAAGTTATATAAACCATTATCCATTGTGGTCTGTGTTTTTCGTAAACCCAACAAGCTTGTGAAAAAAAATACAAATTAAAATAACAAAATCTTGTTTATCATATTTCTTAATCAGACATCTCTACACATCTTGATTCAACAAGATTTTGGTTACTCTAACTTCACCTTAATAATTTAAGATTGTATCCACGTTTACTTAATTTGGACACCTTACCTTTTACCCAGAGTATTGAGACATTTCTAGACTTTTACATTAGGGAGGGGTGCATGCCTTCAATGTAGCAATTACTGCTCTTGGAGTGTCCCATAAACTAGAAATGAAAATTTCGTGAGAGAACATATTTTAGTCTCCATGTATTTATCACAAGGACACTTCACTGAGTGAACTTCTTCAACAAAAAACAAAACGCTCATAGTATTCTCAAAGTATGTTATGATTATATGTAAGATACTAAGATAAACATCAGTTCAAGGGATCTTACAACAGAAACCTCATTAGCCCCCCCCCCCCCCCATTGGCCATCAAATGAGAATTTTAAGTGTTTTACTGGAGAAACATATAATTGGACACTTTTAATTGGTTCCATCATGGGCTCTACCACAGAGCCCATGGTTCCATGAAAATCTTATCTCATGACACACCAAACTGTAACAGGACAGAAACTGACCTTGGGCTTTCAATTAGACATATGGGAAGTTGCCTACCCATCTAGTTCACCCTATGCAGACAGAGCCTGTGGGAAATTCAAAAATGACCGTTAGCTCCGCACCCTCCGCTCATTTGCTCCCCACCCAATATTTCCCACAGGCTCTGTCTGCATAGGGTGTAGTTGAAACCCCATGAACTCACTAAGATGACAATAAGATTTCTATTGTCAATACATTGACTCCATTACAAGTACATTACATTATATATGGCACTTTTAGTTCGTTTTCTGTAAATCTTCATAAATAATAGAAGATAGGTGACGTTAAACATATAATACACTTTAAATGGCCTTATGGGCTGTTTGTGTTCTTTCTAACTTCATTGACACAACCCGGAAGTATACTATTCGCGCAATTTTTTCGAAAGTGACCTCGTAATTTAATTGGTTAAATCTAGGAATGACCTTCATGACGTCACCAGAATACAAATTTGTTGGCGAACTTTGAAAGGAATATCCGTAGGACCCTCCGAGAAAATCCATCAAAATCGCCTTCAATCAGGCTCTGATGTTGGTGAGTGTGACATTTTTATACACTTAAGTTATTTTACTCTAATTTTACAAAAAATGAAGACCCGTTGTCTTCAAACAGAGGAATGGTGAAGCCTTTTTCTATGAAGGATTTCTGATTATTTACAATTTATAGAGAGGCCTTCGCCCCCTTTTCATTTTGACGCATTTGATTCGATATAAGATACTTCTCGTTTCAAGTTGATTGTAAGATCTCTTCACACCTAACATGACTGATTAAGTTATACTATACTAAAGTCTATTACGACCACATTCTCTTGTTTGTTGTCTAAAAACGACTCAAATTACTCCGAAATATATAGGTCTTTTTCAAATGGACTCGTCCAATATCTTTGCATTCGAACATTTTGTTTTATGTGATTTTCACAGAGATCTGTCAATGAAAATGGTCACTATTTCTAAACATCAATATATGTTGTAAAATGCACAACATTCCTTAATTTCAAGTTTGTTCGATCACTAAAAGTAGAGGAATAAGCGGGATTGTTTTCATCGTTGTTCGGCGGCCATTTTGGCGTCATTTCAATTTCCCTCACTACAAACCGATATGTTTTCCCTCTTGGTCTCGTTAAATTGAGCTATTGATATTGTCGTATAGATTTGATTTTGCATCCTATGGTGACTGAAGCTTACTTTGTTGAATTAAGTTTACATTTTTAACAAACAGATTTCGTTTATTAAGGATTGAAATATATGATACTTTTCTGGAAATTGTCTTCAATGTGGACGAGTCCACTTTCAAATCCAATAAAATGTAAGTTGACTGAGTAATCTAAATGATAGAAGTAAAATCTTCCCAACCATTTCAGCTTGATATCTCCATTCATGAAAAGAGTTGATCAAGTTTAATCCCTACAACTGAATTGATAAGGGATCATGTAATTCAACTTAGATTATCGATACTAGATACTCATCCGTATTTGTCGAAAGCAGATCTGAGATTTGCTCATTGGTAATTTTACTGTAAACATTGGAAAATTGCCAGTTATATCCTTATAGTGCTGCATCTTGACAAAAGGTCTGCTATCAATTATATGAAGAACTCTACATTTGCAGTTATTTGCTAGTACTATAAACCAGCGTAACTGTTAAATTCCACTTTTTCCAAAATAATTTGCAAGTCTACAGATGTTCAACAGAGGGCAAAATAATTTTCAAATTCTCAATTTGGCGCTGCATCTTATTCAAACTCCAATTTCTTGGATAGTGTTGTCTTCTGGAGCAGTATGTTAACATCATCAAAACACCTTATCTGAAGAATATTGATGTTCCGACATATATTTATGATTTGTATATTGCATGCAATAGTGGAAAATGTGAATTTACAGAGTAACTTCATAAATGATCTGTTCCATTTCATATTTTTGGGTAAATGCATATTATATTGAGAATTCTCATGTTTTGCTTCAGATATAAGTTTACATTGTGTTCACAAACAATCAGTTTATGTGGTCCAATGTAAAATAAAGGAGTATGCAGCACCATATAGAAGACCAGCAAGGAGTGAAGTTTAATCCAGGGGTCAAGGTAAGTTGTATAACAACTTTCAAATAGTAAGTTTCAAATGAATGAAACATTTCTTTTAGGTCACTACCACAACTGGTTACATATTGTTATGGTCTCTAACATTTTTTGTGGTTTTTGTTCAGCATCTGTAACAAATGGCAGGTAGTGACATTTTGCATGTTAATGCCTTGTTTCTTTTTCCCACAGCTATGCGGGTTATTAAGGGATTAAGAGAGCAAAAAATTCTTATAACCATGCCATGCACCTTTGTCTTACATCATTATGTAATGTTAGTGTGAAATATCCTGTAGCCAGATATTAAAAAGTAGTCATTTAAGAATAGTAGGTTGTAATGACTTTGTAGGCTTCATCTGCCAGATATTAAAAGTTCAATAAAAAGAGGACTTAAATGTAAAATATAGACGAAAATGTTCAAAATATGGATTTTCACGATTTTAAGTGAGCCTTTTCAAAATCTCAATGAACCACTTTTTCTTTTCTTATGTTGGGGATCATTACAATTTCATTAATGATTAATTTTCTAATGGTTAATTATCTAATTTCAGCAGGAAAATTTCCCACCGAGACATCTACCTGCTCCAACATCATTGGCTCCTGTACAGCAAGGGGAGAGTTACCCCCGGCCAATCGTTGGCAGTAACCAGCCCCCTCCAACTAGTGTCCACTCTGCCCAAAGGTTCAACGAGGGACCATCTGACAGCATGCAACAGGGAAGCATGCCCTATTCTGGTGGACCTGTACAGGGCTATCAGTAAGTTCTTAATCATTTCAGTAATAGAGCCGGGGCTTTAGTCTCTTTGTCTTGTCCCTAGTTACATAGAAACAAAGATGAGGCCAGTATGAGGCTCCTTAAGATGAGCATAATTCTAGAAAATATGGTGAATTTTAGAAGGAAATTGTATGAATAAGACTTTCACTGAACAAGCTGTTGGCACGAAAAAAATGTAGTAGGAAGTACCTGCAATCAGATTTGTGAAACATAAAAGCAGTCTGCCATGAACCAGTAAGATGACAGCTATATATGGACTTATAAGATATCAGTTTAGATGAAACAAAATCTCTCAAATGTCTTTGGTATTTTGATTTCACTGTATTTTTTCTACTGAAATTCTTGACTTTTCCGCTGTATTAAGTGATCAATGGTTTCAAAGCTACAACTCCTGGAAAATGATTCACTTAACTGTTGATCGAGTCCAGCACCAAAATTTTAAAAAAACATTCACCCTTGCTCTCCACGTCTGTTAAGACAACTGATGAATCTAGATATTTTTTCTTTTTAATTTTTTTAAAAATTCAAAAAATAATTCAATTACCGGAAGTGGGAGATATAAAGGTTCTGGATATGGAAACCTCAAAATCAGGATACAGGATATATCTTACCAACTTATCTCCCTAAAACTTTACTTGGCATAGGATAATGTACATTCTGATGAGGAGATATTCTGTATCCATTGTTCATATGTTGAATGGTAATTAGGCCATAAAAAGTAGATTCTTTGTTTTGCGTCCTGGCAAAATCCAAATCATGCAAGGGTACAAGGAAAACAAACACAAACTCAAGAAAATACACTAACTTGTTTGCTGAGAAATGTATACATTTTATCGGCATAAAAAGGGATGGCATACCAATTTGCAGTGATTACAAACACATATCTATACATTTTATACAATATATTTTAACATAGCTATAATGTATGCCAAACTAATTAATAACACTGTCAATTTTGACGCACGGGAAACCATCCGCCATTTCATCTGATTCTGATTGAACGAAATGTGATGGTACTTTCAGACCCTTGTGATTGCTATTTGGATGTGTTTGTTTTTTCTGATTTACTCAAAATCGTGCAAGCAAGGGGACGCACAACAAAGAATCTACTTCTTATCGCCTTAAGTAGCTTTCCAAAATATGTTCTCCAATATCCTATTGACTGCTTTATTTCATTCTATTCCAGAGTGAGTGGAGGAGTTCATCACACCAGTAGTGGTGGAGGGTTGCAGCATTCTGTGCCACCCCAACATTCTGCACCTCCGCCACATGTTGCTCCACCCCAGCAGCATCCTCCCCCACCCCAGCATGCTGCTCCCCCACAGCATCATACGCCTCAGACCCAAGCTCACCAACAGCAACAGGTGCATCAGGTGCAGGCTCATACTCAGGTATGCTAGATATTATTATATTGAAAGAGATAATAGGAACATTGTGTAATGTTGACAAAATTGAAAAAATAAATTTATAATAAAGACATCAAAATGAAAGGCTTCTGACCATAAGTTTCCATTTTATTAATCTTATGTATCTTAAAATCTGCAATGACAGTTTAAATCCACATTTCATCTTGCTCAAAAGACACAGTTATGTTTGGTCTATTATGACAACTTGAATCTTCATGTAATAGGCACATTACATCAGTATACAAACTGATGTGTTGGAGGACATCATTTTTGCCCACCCACTCCAACATAGTGTCATCAATTTATTTTAGATATCAACATATATCAAAGTTCTCATGACGCCTCATATTTTTCAAAAGAGGAGCTAGAAAATTGGCATTTTGATCAAAATAACAAAGATGAAATTGGCCATTGTGTCTTGCTTCTGTCAGCTCTTGTCTCTATCTTCCAGGCTAGTCTAGCTTCTGTATGTCAGAGCTATACTGTATCTAGACAAGGATTCAAAGTATGTTGTCTCAAAATATGTTTGACTTGCAACTGAGCTCATGATATTCTTGCTTTGTCATAATAAAGGGAGTTCCTTGGCACTCTACAGTACAACCATATAGCATTTTCTGTTGTTTTTTTCATTCATGATTCATTGAATAGTGAGCTGACCCAGACCAAAGTTATTGGAATTATTTTTTATTTTGATGTTCAGTTTTGTCTTGAAAACAATTAATTTTAGGAATATCATGATAATATTTGCAAGTTATGTTTGAAGTTTATCGTTATGTTTGATGGCAATTTCTGTTTATGATGAAAAAATTCACAAAATTTAGGATGTTTGCAAGAGGATGTTATCTGCCGTTTATAATTATTCTTTAATTAATAATGATTAGATTTAGACTGCAGATTAAGTTGCTTGGTTACAAAGCAGTTGACAAAAACAACTTTGTGTGAAGGATTTTTTATGTTGTTACACATCAACAAAATCCTTCGTAACGAAGCTTTTTGTCAAATTGCTTTGTATTAAAGCAATTTCCACCATGCTGTGTAACAGGTGCCACTGTTGATGACATTAAAATAAATTATCAACTGGCTCAACTTAACCCAAAGATTAGAATTGCGAATGGCCCTTGTAATAATAGTGTTTTTAAGAAGAGATTAATACAATTTAAGGAATATATATATTTTCTGCTAAATAGCAGATCCATGTTTATATTACTTAACAACAAGACTCCTCATTAACTTGGAATAAGACCACTAAAAAAAATATGACATGGCAATTGATATATAGTTGATCCAATCTAATGGAAACAATGAACCTATTTTTAGAGAAATGTGAGATTTCTTTTGAACACATTGCTTGAAAATACTTTAAATAAAATTCAGACTGACAAAAACTTTTGCAAGGTTAACAGTGAAATGTCTTTTCGTAGAAGGCCTGTTTAAATATCCCCCCTCCCCATTAAATTTGTGGATAATCAAATATGTACAACTCATTCACTGAACAAAACAAACAACCAAACCCAGGCTAGAGTATATTTTTATGGAGCATTACTAAAAGTGGTTACATGACTACATTTCCCTTGTCAGAGATGAAGTATTTCAAATTCCTATGAGAGGACATAGAAGCACTTGAGTGCCATTTTGGGTAATAAAGGCTTCATATCGCAATGATATTTCCTTATTAAAAGCAGGACTCTTGATAGAATTTAGGATTTAAGAGTTAATGTTTCTATCTCAACCTAGATAATTCCTAGTAAGAGCCTGGGAATAATGCAATAATGCTAGCATCCCCCACTTGATGGATTTCAATGTTTTAAATTTTGTGCTTTATATGACTTTTGAGCAAGTACTACCCTCTTTTAACTGCTACCTGTACTACAGCATACCATCAAGATGGCGCGATAATATGCAGTTCTTTTTAACAGTACGGAAACAGAAGCAGCAAGAATAACACAAAACGATATAAGAAAGTTTAATGAAATTCCATTAAATAACCAAAATAAAATCTTTCAGTCAATTTCAGTCACGAAAGCTCCAACAAATTATATGAAAAAAGTTGTACTAAAGATCAAACCATATTTTTAGAAAATCCATTTATTTCTTTACTTTAATTATCAAAATGACAGTAGATTAACACTTTTATTTATTGTTCTATATTGTTTGTTGAACAAAGGTCAGATAACTTAAAAGAGTATATATCTAGTCAATCAGTGATTTGTAATTGTTTTCAAGATTTTGTTGAAAACATGCTTGACTTTGCATTTTATTTCCAGTCTTATATAGATATAGAGAAGAAAACCTTTTTGTTGTAGTTTTTCTTGTCGATAGTATTTGCTGTAATTCAGACCTCCTGGGTTCAATAACTATCCATCACGCCATAAGTATTTTTCTTTAGAATTGGTCCTACATATAATGGGAGAGCACTTTATAATACAGTAATATCATGGGCTTTCAATTAGATGAATCATTTTGTTTCAGTTGTTGTAAAGTAACAGTTCATACTTTTAAGAAAATACATTTATCTGCGACTCATGACTTTATAATGCTTGAAAAAATAGATCCCAGTCCTAATTTTTCATTTGTCCACTTTTAGAAGATTTGAAAAATGCAGAATCAATAATCTCTGCACTACAAATGGCCTTGAATAATGGAACACATACATATTGTTGCAGGCTCATGTTCAACAAGTGCAGGGTCAGCAGCAACAACAACAGTTCCAGAGACTTAAGGTAGAGGATGCCCTTTCATATCTGGACCAAGTGAAACTTCAGTTTGGCAACCAGCCGCAGGTCTACAATGATTTCCTAGATATCATGAAAGAATTCAAATCACAAACGTAAGTAGAATTTGTTGAGTTAAACTTTTGAATGTGATGACTTTATTGAGTGTGCTCAAATATTTGCATATTGGTGTAAAGAAAAGAATGGAACCAAAAAAAAAAGTTTATATTTCAAGTGTTCAAATTGAGAGGGACTACATACGGCCGTTCTATTTTGTTGCTGCCTTGAAAGTGTAGATATTTTAGATGAGTACTTAAAAAGCATTCATGTCATCTGTCTATGCCATTCATCAGTCAGATTACTTTAAAGTAAATGAAATTATGCCAATCCTATGGGGAAAATAATCCTAATGATATCTGCGCAATCATGCATGTTCATCGCCATAAGATTTTAATATTAGATTTGATTATCAAGGTGTGAGATATTTAGATTAAAAAATATTAAACAATTATATTGATTATCGAAGTAATAATGATGTTATCATTTCAGAATTGACACCCCTGGGGTAATTAATCGAGTGTCGAACCTATTCAAGGGTCATCCTGACCTAATAGTTGGCTTCAACACATTTCTGCCCCCTGGGTACAAGATAGAAGTGCAAGGGAATGAGACAATAAATGTACACCAGCCAGGTCAGCAGATGATGACACTCAGTCAGATGGCACAGGCTCATCAAGCATCTCAAGCAGCAGCAGCCGCCGCAGCTGTAAGTCTGATGTTCTCATCATTTTTGAGAGGCTTGAGAAATTATCTGTCAGCCAGTCATATATTTAATAACTTGTCCACCAATCAGACATGGTGTTATAATTGGTCGGTCGAAGGGATGTCTCACAATATTTTATTTGCCAATCAGATGATCTCTGATAATCTCTCAGGCCTTATATCATTAACCTTTTTCAATTCCCTGATAATGTAAAAAGTAAAACGAATAGGAAAAAGAAAAAAATGATAAACTTTTAGCCATTACCATTTACTTAGTAGTGTTTTTTCATTGGAATTAGGAATCACTTGCGATGATGCTAGAATTTCTTCACCTGAGTGATTTCAATGTTTTGATATCACACTTGATAGATATATGACCTCTGAGCAAGTATTATGAAAACACAATGAGCTTATGGGAAAAATCATCAAAATTGCTAATTGAAACGAACATAAAATATAAACCCAATGCTTTCAAGTATCACTTTATGACAGACTGTAAATCAGAAAAGTCTACTATCAAATGTAAATAAAATTACATAGTTTTACTCAATACCTTAATTATTAAAAATAAAACAATAAACCTATTTGTTGTATTTGACTATTTTAGGCAACACTATCAAACACAAGTCATAATGCAGCATCACATCACTCGTACCACCAGCAGAGCAAACCTTCTACCCAGGAGAGCTCCCCTCAACAAGGCAGCGGCCAGCAACAAGCGGGACAACCTGTAGAATTCAATCATGCAATCAACTATGTGAATAAAATCAAAGTAAGAATAAGATAAAATGAACTTAAGTTTAGTGAAATATGTATTTTAATGCACTATCTATATGTTGATGCTTTGAATTAAAAAATAATGTTGACTCAGTGTAATTGTTAATTAAAAGCACAATTTTAGATGAATATTGAATATCTATGTGATGTGATTTATTTTTCAATTTTGTTTGTTTTAGAATCGATTCCAAGGTCAGCCTGAAATCTATAAAGCTTTCTTGGAGATACTACACACATATCAAAAAGAACAAAGAAATCTTAAAGAGGTGAATATAATTTTATCAATAAGTATTGTATTTTTGTGACTTTGTCTACTTTAGTTCTCTTAATATAAAACTCCCAAGTTGGTCACCATGACCCAATGACAAACTGCTGAGCTGGTGTCTTGTGTTAATTTAATGTTGCCTAAGATTTCGCCATGCTTTCTTTGTGATTATAAAGTATCTTGTTATTACTTTTATGGGTTGGATTTTCTCTATCAGTTTTGAGAGAATGAGACGAGCATTATTTCAATTTGAACTTCAAGTCATAGACACATTCTGAAATATCTTCAACTTAGATTGCTAAAGAGGATGTAAATGTTTTTGAAAAAAAGATAACAGAAATCATAAGCATTGAAATTGGGTGTTAGAAAAATGTAAAAAACTTGATTGTTTGATCATTACAGGGCCTTGTTACACCTGGCTATAAGCCACTGACAGAGTCTGAAGTTTACTCCCAGGTCGCTAAGCTGTTCCAGAACCAAGAGGATCTTCTCTCAGAGTTTGGTCAGTTTTTGCCTGATGCTAATGGATCAGGAGGTCTAGGCAGCATGTTCGCTAATATGGTAAGACAATTATTTTTACACCATCTTTTACATATACTGATTATGTATCGTCAGTTGTTTTTGTTTCTCCTTAAGTTGTTCTATACAAATGACATCACTGTACCTGTACTGTACATGTTTTGTATGACACTTGTATATATGTTTAACAGGCTGACCTGAGTGCTATACGTAATGACCACTCATCCACATTGAAGAAGACTAGCTATACAACAAAGACAAACAACAAAGGACCCAGCCACATGAGACGTCCCTCTGCTGGCACACAACCACCTGCAAAGGTAAACTCTCCCTGCTAATTTCTTATTACATTATAGAACTAACAGATTTTTATTCTATACAGTATTATATTGCCTGAAATTTCCCCTTGCTTGCTTTGTGCTTGCAAGGATTGCGTACAGGCATATATTAAATCGTCCTGTTACTTTTTATGTTGAGTTAGAATTTGTCTAACTTGAATTTCGGAGGATGAAACATTTTGTATCAGTAACAATGTTCGATATGATTTACCATGTACTATCTGCATAAATTCATACTGTTCCCAAGATATTTCATGAAGAGCCTGTTTTCAATGGAAGAATGATTTTCCCTTTTAGAAATCCAAGAGTGGCTCTTTGAAAGACATCACACTAGCAGAGGCAGGAAAGTATGGCACGCTGAATGAATATGCATTCTTTGATAAGGTATGTAAATACTGCACATTGAATAAATATTATATCTATTATTTACAGGTTAAAAAATCTGTACTCTCAGAAACTACATAAAGATCTCAATTTTGACAAACATTTAACCAAGACAAGTTGTTTAAATAATTTGTTTAACTCAATGCTTAAAAAAATTGCTCACATCTCACCTTTTTCAGGTCCGTAAAGCATTGAGAAACCAGGAAGTGTATGAGAATTTCCTGCGCTGTTTGGTGCTCTTCAATCAGGAGGTGATATCTCGTTCAGAGCTTGTTCAGTTGGCACAGCCATTCCTGGGGTAAGTTGAGTTGTTGTATATTTCCTCCCTATTGTTTATCTACAGTGAAAAATACAAAGTATTTTACATAACCAATAAATGCATAATGTTGTTTTGTATTTTGCAATATGTAAAACTGTAATAGCGATATGTTTTAAATGTGTCAGAATTTTTTCATAAGAAAGTGTTCAAAGTTATTACTGAGAAACTGTCTAATTTTGCAGTAAAACACCAGAGTTATTCAAATGGTTCAAAGATTTCCTGGGTTACAAAGAGTCTGGTCACATGGTCGATGCAGTGCCATCTGGAGCCACAGGCAAGGAGAGGATCAGTGGGGATCTAGCTATGGAGATTGGTAAGTGTTTGTTTTTATCATTCATCTGTTTTGCTTAGACCCCTAGGTGTTGAACTTTAGATGATCAACATTGAAGACCCTTATGTGTTGTTTGGATGTTTAACAATGAAGACACTTTTTATTAAATAGTTTTGTTATTAGAATTCTCGACTCACTTTAATAACAATACCATTTATGTTTATGTGTCCGTGCTTGCGAATGGAACATTTTGCAGGGATTTCATCAATTTTTGACAGCGTGAAAAATGAATGAAAATAACAAAACTTATTTGATATAATGATTGTAACATTCATACAGAACTTACAAAATTCCTTAAAACAACAGACGATTTGTGTAAAAATAACTTGAAAGGTGTTGTCTGCTTTTAATGAAATCTCTGTAATAGAGCAACTTCTACTATATACATATTAATGTTAGGTAGCATGCTATTTTGCCTACTTGATATGTTTCAACTTGTGTTAGGTCACTCATGGCTAGGCTCATTTAGCAGCAGTCTTTGGAGAGATGCTAGACCCAAATCTGTCTCTTTTGAGGACAGTCTCTACCAAATGGGTCAGTTTAGTTAAGAGCAGAAAGTGTGATTGTGGTCATACTTCTTGAGGTGGGTTGGGTAACCATGGTTATTTCCGGTACCTTATTTCCACTGTAAGCTGAATTTTTTTTTTAATTTTCTGTACTGGTTCACATCCAAGATTGTTCAATGAATTTAATTTTAGTGTAACCAATTGATTTTTTGATCCCCATTGTTCACTGGCCCACCCAAATCAGTATAAGCCAGCTCCTACCCACCTCTGCTCCCATAGTTATTTGTTCTTTTCTGCCACCATTTTGTATTATGACTGATCTTCAAGGCCAGGGTCATTACATCAATATCTGTTAATTGTTTTTACTTAATCTATGGTTTTGCCCATACCCTTCTTCATTTATACAACTGATGATTTTAACACAGTAGTAAATATATAATACCATTGCATTTTATAATTTTCCACTAAAACCAATTTATCAATGGTGTCATTCATTAATTGCAGTATATTGCAATGCATACTATTATACAATTATTGATTTAATGACCCAACCTAGTAAATATGTTATGTGTTTTAATTACTTAATGTTGTTATTGTGTTATATGCCAGGACAGGTTGTTCTGCTTTGTTGCAGTTAATTTAGAGATTTAATACAATGAATTAATTAGTATGACGTTCCTTGTTCCTTCCCCATGTAATTCATTACAAAAATATCAATGAGTTGTAGGGGGTGAAACAGAGATTTGATATAATACAACAATGCATGTTTAAGAATAGAATTTAATAAGAACAGCTTAAAAATGATATATTGTGCGGTTGAAGCTGCTCTCAATGAACTAGATAATAGATAATAGTTTTGAATTCTTAATCACAGCAGTGAGCACAATACAATCACTTTCCGTCATTATATTCACCCTTGGTATACGCAGCTAACGAAAATTGACCAGTACGGGTCAAAAGCTGGACCGGTACGGGTTAACGGTTTTATTTGAATTTAAAACAGCCATAACTTGCTCAATATTGACTTCCTCGTGTCTAATTTGAAATATATGATGCCTCCCGATGCTTTTAAGTACCCCAATTTTTTACAGATTTTTAAACCCACCAAAACTCTCTAAATGCGCATTTATGCTCTTTTCTCTCGAGAACAACTGTCTCATTTTCACGATAACTTTTATTTAGTACTTCTAACATATAAGATCTATTTTTCCCCATCAAGGTATGATGTAAATGACATGCTATTTACATATTGTGAGTTTCAATGACGTGCGTTTAATTTTATAAAAAATGCCAAACTTTGTGACAAAGAATTTCATCAGCTATTGCCCCGAACCGGTCCGTCTTCTCGCTACAAGCAGATTGCCCTGAACCGGTCCGTCTTCTCGCTGCAAGCAGGATGAAATTCTTTGTCACTAAGTTTGGCATTTTTTATAAAATCAAACGCGCGTCAATTGAAACTCACAAGATGTAAATAGCATGTCATTTACATCATACCTTGATGGAGAAAAATAGATCTTATATGTTAGAAGAACTAAATAAAAGTTATCGTGAAAATGAGACAGTCGTTTTCGAGAGAAAAGAGCATAAATGCGCATTTAGAGAGTTTTGGTCCGTTTAAAAATCTGTAAAAAATTGGGGTGCTTTAAAGCATCGGGAGGCATCATATATTTCAAATTAGACACGAGGAAGTCAATATTGAGCAAGTTATGGCTATTTTAAATTCAAATAAAACCGTTAACCCGTACCGGTCCAGCTTTTGACCCGTACCGGTCAATTTTCGTTAGCTGCGTATACCAAGGGTGATATTTGTATTTCTTTCATCTGTATACTGTACTTGAGTCACATAATGTAAATTATGCATATGTAAATTTTGTTTTGCTTGTAGATTATGCCTCTTGTAAGAGATACGGAGTGAGCTACCGGGCACTTCCAAAGAGCTACCAGCACCCCAGGTGTAGTGGCCGTACTGCACTCTGTAAAGAAGTCCTCAATGACACTTGGGTCTCTTTTCCCTCATGGTCTGAAGACTCCACCTTTGTCACATCACGCAAGACTCAATTTGAGGAACATATCTACCGTTGTGAAGATGAACGCTTTGAGGTATGACTGATTATAGATAAAATAGAGCTTGTTTTTCGTAACTATAAAACTATTAAGTGTTAGCTATCCCAAATTGCCGATCCATCTTACTCTCATCGATACATAACAAGGAATTGAATAATTTTTGGAAACCTTGAAAGTAAAGTTGCTCAAGATCTGAGGGTTCATATTGTAACTAAGAAAAATTAATATATCATGTTGTTTTTGTAGCTGGATGTTGTCGTGGAGACAAATCTAAACACAATACGTATCCTGGAAGGTGTACAGAAGAAGATGTCCCGGATGTCTGCTGAAGAGGCTGCCAAGTTCCGTCTTGACAACACCCTTGGGGGCAATTCTGAGGTCATACATAGGAAAGCCATACAAAGGTAATATAACCTTGGGGAGCAAATCTGAGGTCATACATACATAAGCCATACAAAATACGATTTGTTCATTTTAATCATGATTAAAGACTTGATTCAAGTCAACTACTCAGCAGAGATAATCTGAAAGCCTGGGTATTACTGGCTAATTTGTTAGTCTAGGTAGATGCTATAATGATGATTGATGTGTTTTAGGATATATGGGGACAAGGCACCAGACATCATAGATGGATTGAAGAAGAACCCAGTTGTAGCTGTGCCTTTAGTTCTAAGAAGGTAGGCATTTGGATATTTTATCTACTTTGTTGAAAATTAGAAAAACTTTCTAACATATCTCTTGAATGATTTTTGAGTCCATCAACTATAGCATTATATATTTACATTTAAAAGTCCTCCAGGTCGATACCGTACTCTAAATTCTTCTTTGATATTGTTTAATAACATTGTTGCCTGAAATTTCCCCTGTTGTTCCCTGTGACTATCAGGACTGCAAACAGGCAGACATTAAAGTATGTGTCTACTTTCATATGAGCTGGTTAGATAATCCAGTCCAACTGAAGATGTATACAACATTTTAGGTTTGAGAATTTTTTTGCTCTAGGGCGGGCGTAGCTTCACACAAAATTGATATAAAAAATTTACATGCAATACTGCATATTTCTCTCGATTTTGGGAAGCTACTGTCACCATCCGGTTGCTGTAGATCAAACCGGAGGCATGAGGCATTAAAGAGAGATTAAAAATTTGATTTCATTTAATGAAAATTATAAAATTTAAAGTTTTTGATAATATTCTGATTACTAAACAAAGTGTTATTGTATGGTTAGATTGAAAGCCAAAGAGGAAGAATGGAGAGAGGCACAGAGGGGATTTAACAAAATCTGGCGGGAACAGAATGAAAAATATTATTTGAAATCACTGGACCATCAAGGCATCAACTTTAAACAGACTGATGTAAAAGCTATACGATCCAAGGCACTTCTCAATGAAATAGAGGCCATTTTTGATGAGGTAAGTCAAGTTGATGTTAATATTGAAATAAATTGCATTAAAAGATACAATAGCACATCATTGATATTGTTCAATGCAAAACCATTTTGAAATCCTTAAAACAATGCACACAATTTAAGAAGTCACAAAGGTCACCATCTGGATCTTACGTCATCATATACAGAACAAAAAAGAATATCAATGTAGTTTTGCTCACAACCCTCAGCTGATGTCCATGTAACTAAATGAATGTCGAAATCACTTTGATGCTAAAATGGCATTTCTCATGGCTATACACATACTAAATAGGCATGTTTTATTGCAGAGACAAGAACAGTCTCAAGAAGGCAACTCTGATACACTAGGTAGTCATTTGACATTTCATTACAAGGAGAAAACCATACTAGAAGATGCTGTTACTATAATCATTCACCATATGAAGCGCCAATCAGGTATATCTTTCATCTGTTACAACTGGATGTATTATTAGACTCCAGATGAAAATCTGGAGTCTATTGCTTTTGCCAGTTTTCTTTATTATTATTATTCTTCTTCCTCCTTCCCAGATTTCTCACCAACTAGAAGAGCTTACTTTAAGCTGCTTACATGATTAACTAGGGAATGTATCTGGCTTTCTGGGAAATTAGGTCAAATTTTTATCTAGGTCAAAGGTCAAGAACTAGGTCAAATCCAGTACTTTGTCACTTTTTCCCATTATCTCGGTCGTCCTTCAATATTTTTGGTCCTGGTTTTTTTCATTGTGTTCCTCATAAAAAAGTAGAAAACCTAGGGTCGATTTAGTTTTTTGGTATCTCAAACCGATTTCGAGATATCAGTGTCCGAAAACGAGGTCCAAAAAAAATTTCACCGAATCCAATGTCCGGGATATCAGTCTTATAGGAAATTTTCTCAGGATTCCGAATCTGAAAACCAAATTTCGATCTGACTTCCGGTTCAGAAGTTATGGCGTTTTGAAAATTCAAAATCGCTAAATTTGGTGCCCCATGTTAATTCAATGGGAAAAAATATTTTTTTGAAGTGTAAAATACGAGATATAGACTAAGCACAGCTAAACATAATGGAAGCCCATAAAAGAAAGGGACCACAAGACCTTCTTTTCATAAAAATTTGGACACCAAAATGCCTAGGTCAAAATCTAGGTCAAATTCAAAGTTTTTCCTTATTTTTGCGATTCTGACACTACAGATTACTTATATTCTTCGAAAATTTGTATACATGTAGCCAAGAGTGTGCTAATAGTGTTAGCCTTTTGCCGTCAGAAAGTATTTTGACCCACTTTTGAGATATGGTGTCCGAAAAGTAGGTCAAACTAAAAAGTTCTCCAAATTTAACGTATGAGTTATGAATTAGGGGTAGAATTTTATCAGGAATCTGAATCTGCAAACCAAATTTTGATTCGACCTCCTGTTCGGAAGTTATGGCGTTTTGAAAGCTCAAAAATCGCTAAATTTGCTGCCCCATGTTATGTCAATGGGAAAAAAGAATTTTTTACGTGTAAAATACGAGATATAAACTGAGTACAGCTTAATATAATGAAAGCCTATTAAAGAAGGGGACCTCAAAGGCTACTTAGCTTCAAAATTTGGACACCAAAATCCCTAGGTTAAAATCTAGGTCAAATTCATAGTTTTTCCTTATTTTTGCGATTCTGACACTATATTCAAATGATTTGCTTTAAAATTTTGTATACAGGTAGCAAAGAGTATGCTCATAGTGTTAGCCTTTTGCCGTCAGAAAGTATTTTGACCCACTTTTGAAATATGGTGTCCGAAAAGTAGGTCAAAATAAAAACTATCCAAATTTAATGTGTGAGTTATGAATTAAAGGTATAATTTTCTCAGGAATCCAAATCTGCAAACCAAATTTCGATCCGACTTCTTGTTCTGAAGTTATGGCGTTTTGAAATCTCAAAAATCGCTAAATTTGGTGCCCCATGTTAAATCAGTGGGACTGAATAATTTTTTGAAGTGTAAAAATACGAGATATAGAATGAGTACAGCTAAACATAATGAAAGCCCATAAAAGAAGGGGACCTCAAAAGCTACTTTCCTTCAAAATTTGGACACCAAAATACCTAGTTCAAAATCTAGGTCAAATTCTTAGTTTTTTCTTATTGTTGCAATTCGGACACTACACTTCAATGATATTCTTCGAAATTTTGTATACATGTAGCAAAGAGTGTGCTCATAACGTTAACTTGTTGCCGTCAAGAAGTGTTTTGACCCACTTTTGAGATATGGTGATCGAAATGTATGTCAAAATAAAAAGTTCTCCAAATTTAACGTATGAGTTATGAATTAGGGGTAGAATTTCCTAAGGAATCCGGATCTGAAATTAAAATTGCAATCCGACCCCCGGCTAAGATTCTAAGCCATTTTGAAGTTTGAAATTCGCACTTGCCAGTATTCACGATGCAGATTGATCAAATAAACTTTCAAAAATTCCTACATACCCTACTTTACCTCCCTACCTACTCAGCTACTTATTTGACTACTTACTCAATTGCTTAATTAGTTATTACTTACTTAGCTACTTACTCAGCTACTAACTCAGGTACTTACTCAGCTACTTACTCAGCTACCTACTCAGCTTTTTACCCAGTTACTTACTCAGCTACTTACTCAACTACTACTAAGGTACTTACTCAGCTAATTACTCAGTTAATTACTCAGCTCTTTACTGATCTATCTAGGTAAAATAAATCTGGAGTCTTAAATTGAACTTGTTCAATTTCACAAATCTAGTTATTATTACTCTATTACAATGGTCTTTCTCGTATATGATTTGTAGCGCAGTCAGATGTCCCTTTGGTAGTTCGACTTTTTCAGGAAAGCAACAAACTTGGCACAGTTGTAGAAACATATGATCTGAATGAAAAATGATTTCGGGGCAATTGATTCGGGGTGGTCTTCATGGATTTTAAGCCTCTGACCCCCACCCCTATCAGGCGGGGAGGGGGTACATTATAATAAAATAAATTAAAATAGTTGTAAAGTATATTTCTTTAAGTGACTTCATTTGGTCATTGCTTTGAGCCTTGAAATTGAGAAAAACCTATTTTAGAAGTGTTATTTAGGAAGGAAAATACATTTTAACCCAATTATCTAGCGTGAATTCATCTTTCAAAGGGTCAAATATAGGACATCAAGTACTGTATTTCAAGAATGTGATGTCTGATCATCCTGAAAAAATTCATACTAATAGAGATATTGGTGTTTATCACTCATATGATATATGGCTTGTGTAGCTCATGTATTTTTTGAGAAATAAATTATCGAAATTTGGATATTTAAGCCCTTGCAGCCTAGGGGTGACCTTATTTTACCTTAATAATTTTTAAGATACGCGATGTTTGGGCCTCATATGAATTCTAAATGTTGCATTAAGTATTGTTTTGTCATATTATTCCTAATTAGATGTAAAAAAATTATTGAAAATAAAAAAAAATCAAATTTTCATTTTCGGTTCTAAAGGGCCAGGGGTAACCATATTTTACCCTAATAATTTCCCAGATATGTAATATATGCATCTCAAATTAGCTCAAGATGTTGCATATAGTTCTGTTTTATCATACTTCTTCCAATAAGATGTAGAAAATGATCGGATATACCTAAAAAATCAAAATTTTCACTTAAGCTCTTGATGGCCCTGGGGTAACCTTATTTTACCTTAATAATTTTCTAAATATGAGACATAGTCACCTCAAATGAGCTTAAGATGGTATATTTAGTCCTGTTTTATCATATCATTCCCAAGGAGTGAAAAAATGATTGGAAATTATAAGAAAATTACATTTTCATATTACACCCCCAATCCGCAACATCTTCTTGCAGCGCTGTAAACAGTACTGAACAGTGCAGTCAGAGTACTGCACTATATAGCAAGGTACAATGCTATTCTAACACCATCTGTTTTGGACAGAGTATTACAGTACTGTTTTTACAGCTCAGTACTGTTTTAGAAAACAGCTGTGTACAGTACTGTTTTTACAGCACTGTTTATGAAACCATGCTGTTTGATGCAGTTTGAGATTGGTAGTTTAGTTTATGATAGGTCAGGAATGACCTAATTTTACCTTAAAAATTTAAACAATGATATATCATATTGTCTACTCAAATGAGCTCAAAATAGTGAATATAGTCCAGTTTTGTCATATTAGTCCTACTGAGATATACAATAATGATTAACAGTTATAAAAAATGAACCTCAACAGCCATTTATTCCTTTCTAGTACCAATGGCAATACTATCTAGTTTTATAGAACATTTTTCTAAGATGTGAAAATGTTTGATAAGTCCAGTTCATACTAGCACGAGTAGTAGCATTGTTAAGATTCTGTATATTATCATTTGAGTATATAATCCAAATCTATAAAACCTATTTAAAGGAGTCACAATTCATGGATTCTGACAGTCTCTCCTACAGCTACATAGCTCAGAGCAAATCAGATCTGCTTAAAACATTTGCATCTGTTCTCTTGACACAGGTATCTACCCCATGACCTACATTTTATGTTGTTGCCTCAGTATCAGCAGTGGGAGTAGGCCAGCCACATTCATGTGGTGATAGAAACTGTGGCTAAGAATGCATCAGAATGAATAAGGACTCTAGTCTTCTAATTTTAGGGTATCAAAAAAGATTTAAAGCTTTAGAACACTTGCGTAACCTCTGGGTACACCTTCTATTCCTGCAAATCAGTTGACTAAGAGTAGTAGCAGAATGCATCTAGAGATTGTATGAAAAATGGTAAGGGCCAAACTTCGTTCATGGCCAAGTAGCCTTGAAATATCTAAGACAGGTCGTACATTCTGGAGGAATTTCCCCTTACCATAGGCCATATGCAATCCAAATTGACATTTTCAGCACAAGTTACTGCCAGTTTAAACCACACCAAAATCAACTGTATTGACTATGATTCTTATTAGGTCATGACAGAAGCAGTCTTTGGCTTGCTTCTTCATACGAGCGAATGGTGATGGCAGATACTTCACTATCGGGCTAAGATATTGCATTACCTCATTGTGAGGTCACAATCTTCTTGTCATCTTCCTCCAGGGTTTCAGTTTTGATGCCTGGAAGGAAAACAGCTCCCTCTTGTTCCAACTATCTTAGGAAATCTTGCCAATTCCACAGAAGAAAATTAGTAGGATATACTTTCCTCACTGTTCCAGTTTTGTGCTGTTTGTATCTATGCTCATTAACATCAAAGTTGAATGACTAAGCTACATAGTAGATGCCAAAATAATAGACAGGGCATGTATAGTTAAACATGCTAACAGTGATATATAAAGAAAATTGGGTGATTATGCAAATATGATATTACCCACGTAAAAGTCTGCAAATAGTTCATTGCCTTGATGTCAGCTGGAATGTTTACCAGGACACTAGCTTAAAGGGGCAACAAGGTCTGTAGAAGATTCAATTTTTTACTTTTTTTGAGCTATCAGGGTAATATTTGGCTAAACATCTTCTTTGACATACCTATTTTCTTAAAATGTATGGATAAACTATCAATTTTAGCATTAAGAAGTGTAAATTCAGTTCAAAGCTTCTATAAAGGGAGGCCCACTTATAGATTTTTAAGATCCAAAACATTTCAAGAGGAATCAGCTGAAATAATGTTCATCCATGGGGTTTCTTTGGAAAAAAATAAACATATATGTTAGTCTTGATGAAATATCCAAACTTGAATATATTTTGACACTGGTCCATGATCGTTGAATGGCCCCTTTGCACTAATTGTTGCACCTTTAAAACAGCACTAGAGAGACTTGTGGAACTGGAACAAGGATAGTCTAAAGAGGAAACTGAAACCCTTGAAATGGATGGAAAGAAGATAGTGACCACATAAATTAAGGAGGCAATGCAATGTTTTAGCCCAACAGTGAGATTCTGCCCTTGCTCTTAAGAAGAAGCAGATTCAAGGATATTTCTCAATATTTTCAGTAAGACTGCTTCAATCATGGCCTTCAAGAGAAAGAATAATACTCCTTACAATTATTTCTAATGTGGTTATCCTGGCATATATGTGATGTTAAAAACTGAAAAGGTCAATTTGGATAGCATATGGTAAGGGAGAAATCCTATCAATATCTACCTGCCCATGGCCAAAGTTTAACCCTCCCCATTTTTCATACAATCATTGGATGTGATGTTACATCTGTATTCTACTGCTATTGGTAGTGCTAAAATGGAATAAATGGATTGAGTTTTCTAATTGTTGTTAATCATTATCTCAGTAGGAATAAAGTGAAAAACAGACTATTTTCCCCATTTTGAGATCATTTTATCTTGAAAATTAATAACATTTGGCATTCTTGTGCCCAATCATTGACTGTCATTATTCACTGACAGAATCCTTGACAGAAGCAGCTCACCTTAACCCCCCCCCCCCCATCAGGCTAAGGTGACTTGACTTACTACCCTTTGCATTCATTCGACTTTCCTTCTCAAAAGAGAGCTTCGTCTTCACTCTATCAGTTTTCAATAAATCTCTGAACTCACTGCGCTAATCAGAGTTTGTTGTCGAAATAAGGAAGGCTTTAAATATGGTCATTTTCTCTGACGAAATCGCATCATTAATGTACACGCATTTAGCACTTGTTCCTTCAAGCTCGCTGATCGGTTGAGAATAGGTCAGCATGGTTTATTGCAGCTTGGGTCATAAATGCTTTAAGACCCAAGCTGCCAATGGCATTGGTCATGGGGACGGGGCTGCTAAACTCACTCCATCCTTTGCTTCTATATTATGGTAATATATGATAAAATCACCTCTGACCTGTCAAAAGCTAAAGATGTCATTTTTCAAATTTCCATTATTTTTTACATCTCCTAAGGAATAATATGACAAAACAAGAGTATATGACACAATTTTAAGCTCATTTGAGATGCATACGTCTCATAATTAAGAAAAGTTCAAGATTAAATAAGCCCCCCCCCCCCCAGGCCATCATAAGCTAAAATGAAAATTTCAAATTTTAAGAAATGTCCAATCATTTTCTACATCTTAGTGGAGGTATTATGATTAAACAGAATTATATGCATCATCTTGAGCTAATTTGAGATACATATATTACAAACCTTGAAAGTTATCAAGGTAAAATATGGTTACCCCTGGCCCTTCAGAAGCGATAATGAAATTTTTTTTTTTTTGAAAAGTTCCAATCATTTTTCAATCTAATTAGGAATAATATGACAAAACAAGACTCAATGCACCATTTTGAGCTCATATGAGACCCATACATTGCATATCTTAAAAATTATTAAGGTAGAATAAGGTTACCCCTAGGCCGCAAGGGCTTAAAAATTCAATTTTTGATAATTTTTATCTCAAAAAATACATGAGCTACCCAAGCCATATTCTATATTTGTGATGAACACCTATACCCCTATTAGTATGATTTTTTCCAAGATGATCAGACATCAAATTCTTGAAATACAGTACTTGATGTCCCATATTTGACCCTTTAAAATATGAATTCACGCTAGATAATTGGGTCAAAATGTATTTTCCTCACTAAACACCACTTCTACAATCGGTTTGTCTCAATTTCAAGGCTCAGAGCAATCACCAAATGAAGTCATTTAAAAAAAATTTCTTCAAAACCATTTTTATTTATTTTTTATAATGTACCCCCTCCCCGCCTGATAGGGGTTGGGGTCAGAGACTAAAAAATCCATGAAGACCACTCCGGATCACTTGCCCCGAAATCATTTTCCACTCAGATCAAGTGTTTCTACAACTGTGCCAAGTTTGTTGCTTTCCTGAAAAAGTCGAACTATAAAGGGCTCATTTCTGGACATCTGACTGCGCTATTGATCTTGCATTGTACAGAGAATATGTGTTGAACCTTGTTGGGACATTAAAAATATGATTTCACTTTTTGGAATTTCGAAAAAATTCAGATAATTTGACCAGTTTCTGACCCTTTTTGATTGGAATAAGTAAATTATATAATTAAGTATCGAGTCATAATATTGTATTGTAACATTGAAAAAATACAGTAAAAAGTATAACAAAACACAGTATGCAAAACAACACAAATCCCCAATATCCCCAACTATGATTTAACTCGTAAGATTGAATAAATAATTTGGTATGTAGGTATCCACAAGGAGGATAAGAGCAAGATAAAACACCTGCTGAAGCAGTTTCTCCCAGACCTACTCTATCATACACGTCTACCTATGAGTGATGATGAAGAAGAGGAAGATGAAGGTATGTCATCTTTTATTTAATCCATAGCTGTAACTATAACAACCCATTATGACATATTAACTGACAATAAGAAATGAATTACTGGCCTCTCCTGAGGTTGGATCTCCAAATTTTATCCCAGCGTTGTCTATAATAATTATTTCTGTGGAAATTGTCCGATCCCTGACCAATCAAAATCAGGTTTTAAGATCAAGTTAATCTTTGATATTTCCAGATATGGAGACCAGTGACAATGAAAAGGAAAATGTAGAAAAACCTCAACAAGAAAAGACTGAAACAATAGGTGTCCAAACACGTGAAAAACGTGATGCTAATAAACAACCAAAAGAGGATAAAAAAGAAAAAGAAGCGAAAACAACTCCTGTTAAGAAATCTCCTGTAAAGGAGGAGCCAATGTTAAATGGAACAAATAGTGATGATTCAGAAAAAGATATAGACAATGTAAGTCAGACCTCTAAGTAATATATTCTGATTTTGGAAATCACCACCCCATTCAGATTATGAAGTTACTGCTTTGTACATTGGAAGTATTGTAATGAATCTCTGCATTTGGAGAATGAATGGATGGAATCATCAACATGGAACTGCCATCTTTGTTAAAGACTACAGGGGGTTGTATTCCAGTTGCATATATTTTGACTTTTTCTTTCTATAAAATTTTTGTTGATTGTAATGTAATAAGTCGAAATATCGCTTTTTGTCTTACAAATTCTAAAGAAATGAATCAGGCAGGTAAGTGTATAGGTTAACAATAATATCTAGATTTTGGCAATTTTCATATGCTTAAAATCTATAACAGCATGAATACTGCTCAGTGTATATCATCTTATAATGTGCTTCTGCTATACTTTAGGATGAATACTATTCAGTATATTTCGTCAACAACAACTGGTACTTATTCTTCCGGTTGCACCAGCTGCTGTGTGAGAGGCTATACAAGATTTATGAGCAAGCTGAGCGTATTGCAGAGGAAGAACGGAGGTGTAAAAAAGACAGGAAAGAATCTACAGCTGTTGCTTTAAGATTAAAGACACCAAGTGAGTTCTCGCATTGCTACTACTGTATAATGTTTTTTGTTTTCTGTGTTCTTTTGGAGTTTTAGAAATGCAGATCAAAGAACACATTTTCCTAGCAACAAAATTTTCAACATGTATAAAGTGTGATATTGTTGTCAGCCAGTGAGTGGGTAGTAGCGTCTCACCTTTTTTGTTTGCATTTTCGATCAAAACACCTAAAGGCTTGATTTATAAGGGATGTTTTGTGGGTTTTTTTTGGTTTTTTTATTTATTTATTTCATCCACCATAATTGATGTGTTTAAATGAATTTTACATTATTTACTTATAATATAACATATATATATATATATATAATATACAATTTAATTTTAGTTACAGACCAGATTCTGGTCTATTTATGTACATTTTATGGATGTAAACAGCAATTTGCTTATATTCCTCGACATCAAATATCTCCCCTGCACCAAAAATTGCTCCAAGAATCATCTCTTTTGGATAATTTTGTGCTGGTTTAAAGATATTATATAAAATTTTCAAAATATAAAGCTAAATATAAACAATCCCCTTAACTTAATACATTGTAATTAAAAAAATAGATTTTCCATCCATTTGTGATACAAACAATGTCCTTTTGTTTCAAGGTGAAGTTGAACCAGAGGAATACTACCCATACTTTCTGGACATGGTTAAGAACCTACTGGATGGTAACATGGAACCAACAGCCTTTGAGGACACTCTCAGAGAAATGTTTGGCATCCATGCCTACATAGCATTCACTATGGATAAGCTGGTGCAGAATATTGTCCGTCAGGTAATTTAAAATTATTTAGCAGTTAAAAATTATAGATGTTATCAACAATAGATTTCCTAGATATAAAGCAATTGGGTTATGTATACTTAAATTTAAATTGAGACAAAATGTGGGGAATATGTGTACCATTGATCCTGTTTATGTCGTAATAATGAGGGTATCCCTGCTCAAATGATGATTCTACCCTGACTCTTGATACTTTTTTGAGAGGTCATGATTAGTCTTTCTGAGAGCAATCTGATAAAACAATGAACTGTACGAAGTATAGTTCTAGATCCTCTTTTTAGCTTTTGCATGTTTAAAAAGATGATCCTGAATTTCCATAGCAATTGTAAATGGTACATTATATGTGTCTCTATCTTAATAAATAGACAGGATGAAATATCAATTTTTCTCAAAAGTAATTTTGCAATGAGGTAGACCCCTCCATTTTTGTTTAAAGCAACAACATTAATGTACAACTATCGCCTAAAATGATAAATAAATTAATAAAATGAAAATTATTTATTCAGCTTCAACACATGGTTGGTGATGAGATCTGTACGCAAGTGATGGATCTTCAGTGCAACGAGAAGAAGAACAATGCAACTGGTGGCTCCCTCTCTTCGTTACATTTACGTCAAGAACAGGAACTAGCATACCAGAAACGTGCCGAACAAATCTTGACTGAAGAAAATTGTTTTAAAGTCATGATGGTAAATAATTGTTAATTGTCATCAGTAACACTTAAGCTTGGTGAAGATTTTTTCAAAATGTAGTTTTACTTTAAATTTTTTGTAAAATATGAACATGCTTCCATGTCATCTCAACCAAGCAAAACGCAGCCCAAGAACTTATCTCAATGAAATTCTCCTAAGTAAAATGTGACCTTAGTACAATTCAATCCAAGCCATTCCAATAATGTATCAGCTTGTGTTTGAAAAACCTTTATGTTCACCAACAAAATGTATAGGCTCTTATGGTCAGTGTTTGGGTACAATGTCTGTAACAAAAGGCATGTTAATGCCTTGTAACAAAAATAAAATTGCATTTAAGAATTATATGACGATTATATTGACAGTTGAACATGTTTTTTTCAGTTTAAAAATGAATGTAAGATTTCCATAGAGCTGCTGGACACTGAGACTGAAAACTCTGATGACCCTATAGAAGTGGAGAAGTGGTCTGAATATGTAGAGAAATATATTGCAAATGATGAAACCATATCAGAAGAACTGAAGGAGCAACTGTCAAATAAACCTGTGTTCTTACCAAGGTAATTCTCCCTTTTCATGTTTGGTTATGATTTATTATAAGGAAATGCTAAACAGTAGAGCTTTTTTGAGAAAGATTACGCAGGTGCTATTGCAGAAGGGTTACCCTGATTCGCCATTAATACGATAACATTTTTCATTGCAAGAAACAATTTTATACACCATGTATCACTTTGTTTTATTATGTTGACATAACATGACATATGTTGCATTTAAGCATTGATTCTCAGTAGTCAAATTTTGTTAAAATCCAAATAAAGAATATAAAATACATAACATGCTACAGGGCCTTTTTCAGAAATGTCCGTCATTGGAGGCGGCGGAACCGCAATGTAACGCAGGAAGCTGTAAAGAGCAATAAAGAAAACAACAATACAAGTGGTCCTTCAGAGGAGGATGACACGACCGATCAGGCCAGAGGGGATGCTCCACAGCAAGAGAAACAAGCTGACAAGTCACTGGTTGAGAGGGTATCTGATGATATGATAATCATGGACAATACTGAATGTAAATTCAATGTGAATTCATTCAAAATGGTGTATGTAGTGAATAGTGAGAGCTGTCTCTATAAACAGCGGGCACTGAAGAAAGCTCATGAGGTGAGTGACATATAATTTAGTACAAACTAACAGGTACTTGTTTTTAATATCTGAGAAAGGTGCACTCACGTTTAATGAACCTTTAGCATGCTCCCTTATTTCAGCAAATTTATGCCACGCATCTAATAATTACTGAATAAATCTGGATAGAATTTTCGCAAAAGGAAGATACACTAGCCTGCCTCATGAAAAAAGTCCTCTCATGAAGTTTTTCCATAAATAAACACAACTGGGCATAAACATACCGTGCATACTCCTCCAGAATCACTACGCCCCTTGGAAGACTCAACTTTGGGCCAGAATCCAAATCTGAATTTGCAGCGATTTATTTTCAACTTTTCACTTAAGAAAAAACATGGAAACTCAATTTCTGATCTCCTTTATTGGCTTCCAAAAGTCTTGATAGCTCAAAATCCCAGTCCATATCGTTGAAGCTTTCATTGAGATCTTATCTGGCTGCCATTCTGTTCGATTCTATTCATTTTTAACTTTTAAACGATCAAACGTGACTTAAATTGAAAACTTTTGAAATGACGTCATTTAAATGGCCCAATGAGAAGTTTTATGTGACAAGGAATCTGATGGGCCAACAGATTTGTTGGGGGCAAAAAGTTAGTTTTTAAAAGTTCAATCTTGGCGACCGGGTCCGCAGCAAGCTAAAGGTTAAGTGGACTGTCATTCCATAAAGTCTTCTGAGAAACAGAGCTTTAAAAAACAATTGTATGTGTGTAGTACAGTTAAATAATTTGAATTCAATTTGCTTTCAGTCTCATAAAGCAGTATCAATGCGTCTGCACAACAAGTTTATGGCTTACGTGGAGAAATGGCGCTCAACGAATGTCACTCCTGAAATGGAGAAAAATTGCGATGACTGGTTAAAAGGACTTAGTGGCGACAATAAAGACTGTAAAACTATCATCAATACAAACAATAGCCTTGAGAGGGCGCCCTATTACAGCATAAATAGATTTGTTGTCGAATATGAAGAAGAAGAGCGGTCTTTACCTATGGAAACAAGTTCAACATAGCATGCAGACAGGCCCTACTCATGGATACAATCAGACAGGCCCTAACCATGGATACCAATTGAACCTTACATGCAGGCCATATATGGACTATCAATGCAACACTGGACTCCTTGCCCTTTATAAAAGATATCCTGGAATTCCTCTTTATGTCATTCTTTTCCAGAATCATGATTGAAATGAGTGTTGAATGGCAAGAATACATGCAAACACATAACGCAGGGTGGATATCAAGTGCTGAATCTCAAAAAGGTTGATTTTTTACAAAGGTGTTTTTACACTCCTGAGCAACTAAGTGTCCTAATGTCTTGATATGAATGTTCAAATTGCTCAAAATCTGAATGTCTACAGCTCTAAATGACCCATGTGAAACATTCTGGGGAACATTTTTAAATGAAATCAAATTGCAGTTCAAGATTTTGAATCCAGGACATCCATGTTTTAACACATGTTTATGCCCACCAAATCAATGTACCAATGATCATGTGGTACATGTATGTGTTGGAAATGTTTTTGTTGATGAAAAACATGAATTCAATCTAAACTGTTTGGATAGTCAAGATTTCTCTCGTTATCTCTACCAATTACATGTGTAGTGTGTCACTTGTACTTGAAGTTCACATCTTTGCAATATTACATTTTTACCTTAATTTTTGATTTCCCTTCAGTCGTTCATGAAATTCTGATATATTTGTGAAAATTAAATCCTTTTAAATAAGCAGAATAAGTAGACTTGAAAGTTATTAATAATTTATATTGTATGAATATTATTGTATGTTATTTGCAACACATGCTCTTTGTAGTTGTGTTCTGGTTCTCTTGATTAAGAGTGATTTATTTGCCTCATAAAATGAGAAATATAAAATTAAATTTTGCAATTTACGGATATTTGAGTCTAACACAATCTTCAGTGAGAAATGTACATAACATTTTGAAAAGGTTAACATTGTGATGTATTTTTGATGTTCACATGGATTGAACATTTTGTTGGGTTAAAGATTTCAAATATATTGCATTTGCATTTATTATTTATTCTGGTTAAACATAGGAAAGGACTGTGGCCTAAAAGTATTACTTATATTACTTTAGTTTTACATTGAATACACTTCTGGTTGAGTTCAGTGTTAGTTCCTATGGGGGTTAACGGTTTATGGAATGTCGTTCCCTGGCACCCCGTCATCTTGCCCGTACTTACAGTATAGTAAATTACTTTCTCATATGACTCAGATTCAGCCTTGTATCACATACATCCCATTTCTTCAATAGAGGCTTTTCCATAAAGCTTTAAAAATCTTGTAAAGTCTCGTTTTAATGAGATTTTAGGTGATCTGCATTTTTAACCACTAAAGACTAACATTTTCTTCTATTTGATGGCATATTTGAATTCTGTGTGTAATTTTCTTTCAAAACAACGTTGATTTGCACTGTTATTTACCTTTATTCAAATTCTAGAGATTTTCAAGTTTTCTAAAAAATGGTCGGGCTAAATCCCCATTGACAACAATGTTGAAAAACCTTTAAAGGCCCCATCTAAAGTTTAAACCACTTTGGCTTATATTGTAGTCTTACCCAATGTTATCAAAGTGTGATATGTGAAACTTTTTTTTTAAATTTCAAAAAGTGGTTTTTGACAGACTTTTTCTTCCAAAATTTGTGAATTTATTTAAAACCAACTTTTAAAGGTCACTCATATCTTCTAATTAGCCACAATTCATACCAATGCATAGCATTCATCCTCCCATGTTTTTTGCCGAAAAAATTAAGAAAATCGGTTCATAAATAAGCGAGAAATGAACTTATCAGTGCATGAAAATGGTTCTGAGAAAAATGCATTTCCAAATTTTAGTTCTCATAGAAACCAATGGTACAATGATATCTAAAACATAATTTATTCTTCCTTTTAACCTGGTAAGACAATCAACATTGGTTTTTATGAAAGTCTAACATATTTAGAAAAGATTGACATCGAAAAAAAATTTTCAATTTTTTCAAAAAGTTTTTGGTACCTTAGTGACATCACTAATGTTTCAAAATAGTTTTGATATGTTAAAGCATTGAAGTGGCCCATTAAATATGGCATTTTATTATTGAAATAGTGTGTCCTTTGTTCAACCTTTGCATTGGTGTTAAAAAGATAATCTTTTTTGAAATGCATTAAGAAATATTTGATGATTAAGAAATTTCAACTTTTTTTGAAAAATGGCGGGAAATTTGAATATTTGAGAAATGAAATGCTCACAACTTTTTTTTCAAAATTTTTTTTTGGTTCAAAAATCTCTAAAATCACTTTTTAAGTCCTGACAAATAGTAAATGAATGATAAAAAAATATTTTCAAACTTTAGACGGGGACTTTAAAAGTTCATTTACTCCTAAAAGAATCACTATTTTAATGTTAAATCACAATCCACATGTCAATAACATCATATAGTTACATTCCAATGGTGTTTTAAGTCGATCCAAATGGAATTACTTGTTAAATCAATAAATTAAGTGACTTGCTATTAAGGTGCCATGTTATTTAGCCCTACCAATACCCATGATGCCATCTACTTTTCCATTTATTTGGAAAAGGGTCAATTCCACCAGTCTTGTGTTCATATATCTAATAGTAATAAACATTTACCATGATTATTTCATGGCTTGGGACATTTATATGCATATTGGCACTATGCCTGATTTCAAGCAAAATAGAAGACCAATTATTAGTACACCTCTAACTTGGATGCAAGTATGTATTGCAAAAAATCAGTGTTATTTTCCGTAAAGTGTGGCATTTATGTAAATGGTTCAGTGTTTGTATCAATGTATGTTTGATAGTAGGGTTCGTTTACAGTTATCATGTGCACACTGTAAATTCTTAACTTATCATGAAACAAGAAACCACTCAATACATTGTAATAATAAATTGCCTTGTTGTATATAAGTACACCAACCAAGGTATATTCTGTACAAAACTTACCAAACCTGTACATATTAAAGAAAGTGTGTATATAGCTATATATATGGGTGGACTCATGTAAAATATATAACTATCATCGATCATGGTGCAAATTGGTTATTTCTAATTTGTTATATTTCCCCAAAAAACATATTTTGTAATTTGACAAAGTATTTGGTGCATGTAGTCAGTGAGTGCACAATGCAATGAAATCAAAATTTGACATTGGATAGATCATCTTATATATTTTGTGATTCAAGACCCAAGATGTAATAGTTATGCATATTGAAGATCACCGTCCTTTGATTTTTTATATGTATAGCAAAGCTAATTAATATGACTAAATCATAGAATGTTGATGAAATGTATCAAATACACCATTTTCTCTAAAGATGTTTTATCATGAATGTAATCAATTTCTTCTCTTGTAATACATTTTGATGCATTCAGTTCGATGATTGAGTTTTGTGATCAATGATTGTTAGATTGTGATCAATGATTGTTCCATTGTGTTCAATGATTGTTCCATTGTGTTCTGCTGGTATGACTGACTGTGAAACAAGTTCTATGAATTGTATATTCTATAAATTAAAGTTACCACCCTGTATTATTGTATTTGTATATAAACAAAGTAGTAATAAATTTTACAAATATATTATTCTATTATGTTTCTTCAGAAGACAATCATAATACCATATATTGGGGAAAATTTGAATGACGTATCAATAATTTGCACTTGCAACATGTTGTGTTTGTTCTTCAAGAATTTAGTACTTGAACATATGATCTGTAATATCTGCTATCAGTGAATAACTTTATAATCAAAGAAATCGTTACAATTTAATATTTTTGCTCTCTCCATATCATGAATGACTTAAAACATGCCCAGTGTCATTCCAGGCTAGTTCTTTTTTGATTTTTATAAGATTATCTGCCAAAAAATGAAAAGGAGCGTGTCCCTTTTTCAAGTCTAATGAACTTTGACATTTCTGCATCTTAAAATTTCAATAACTTCAACAGTTCATTAGATATCTCAATTATCTTTTCAGAAAGTAATTCCAAAAACATTAGTATGAGTTTAAGATTGCTTCCAACATTTTTACCCATCCATTCCTAAATATATTTTATTCCATGAACCAGACCTGTCAATCAATTAGGTTGCTCCAAAACAGAAATGCATACATGGCAGTTCTTGACCAATACAGAGATCTAAATTATCTTACTGTTTTATTGTTATACAGATATCTAAGAATGAGATATTGTATGATTATGCACTGAAACGTATTGAAACGTTAATGTGAAAGTGGGAGGGGTGAAGTGGGCGTGATCAAAATGCGCACGAAACCGGAAGTAAAAACAAAAAATGGCGGATGTAATTTCCGGAAATTTATTCTTAGATTGTCTTCTTTTTTCCATCTATTAACTTAACTTGGACAGTTTACCAACTAATATGGATATATAGCAGTTCATGAACCGTCAGAGATGTCTACTAAAGAGTTGTTTACGAAGGTAAGGCTTTGAATAATGGTTATAATGACGTTAATAAGTTTCAGAATCTTATAAAATTTTTCAATGATTTTTGTTTTTATGTTTTGATTTGTCATCATCGGTTATTTCGAACTTTCATCAATAAAATTCATTTACACTTTGTTTGTACAATTTTGTGATAATATACGAAAAAGTTGATATGATAATGGTATAGTAAAATTTTAAATGTTTGTGAGTACTTTGATAAAAAATAAGCAATCAAATGACCAAATTGAAACAGTTTATGTAAAAATAGAAACATTTATATTTATCCCAACTTTTGTATATTTTAGTTTGTTTTGTGTAGTTTAGCTATCATATCTGTGTCCTCTTATATTTTGATACTTCTCTGCCATGTTATTTTCGGAAAAATTACATGGCTTAAATTCCCTAAATTACAAAAGGCCACAGCTTTGCTGCATATTATACATTACTATTTTTACTATAGACGACTTGGTACTTCACTTTGAGAGCCATGTTAGATTTTGAAACTTATGGCTCTCCAACGGATAGATGGACAGCTGATCTTTGAAACAAGAATTAAGTCGATCCGCGGCTTACTTTTGTTCTCTAACTATGTCATACATCATTATCATCCTTCCGTGCAAGTATTGGAGCGCTGAAGTACTTCCTTTTCGATCAAGACAAGTAATTGTTAGTCGAGTGAATGTTTTTCTGCCAAATTCCAATATGGCGTTTTCTGCTCGGACATTTTCGTGAATCTCCGGAGGTTGTCCGAGCCTAATTTATTCTCAAAATTCATTTCGTTCGTCAGTATCTCGCTCCTAGGTAACCGCCATATTGGAAATGGGTTGAAAAAACATTCACTCGATGAACAATTACAAGTCTTGATCGAAAAAGAAGTATTTCAGCGCTCCAATACTTGCATGGATTGATGATACTGATATAAGACACAGTTAGAGACCAAAGGTAGGCCGCGGAAATCTTTATTCATGTTTAAAGGTCACTATCATTCACTTGTCCAAGTGCGGTGTGGGAAAGCTATTATATCAAAATCCACTGATTTTCACCAGTTGTTTTCACAAAATGGTATTTTGTTTTTAGGGACTTTTCGATGTTTCCATGTTAAATTTATGGTTTCCATTAATTTTGCCTTTTATTTCCATTTATTTACTTTAGTCTGTTGTCTTTTAAACCTCAGTCACATTTGCTTTATGGTGGGGGTACGGCTGCCTTAGCTTCACAAAATCAAGATAGAAAATCTCCATCGTACTGCTTATCCATATATTTTATGTGGGGTATTTCTCTTGATTTTAGGAAGCTACGGCTGCCATAAGGTTGCCGTAGATAAAATGTGATCGAGGCATTATTCGAACATATCTAAATAAATGTGAATGCCTGCTCATCTGAACAATTTTGCCTGCATGGTCCAAGTGATGTTCAGATTTGACAGGTTTTACTGTAATATTTAATCTCAGGCCTCCAAAATAGCTCACTTGATAGTTTAGTTCACTGATGATGTTTAAGTCTAATGATTTTAGAAATGTTCTATTCATATGGTTATTGACATGAATAGGCAGTCTACCACTTCAATTTGTAGATCATGCCATTTATCGTAGTATCAACTCATAAATAGCTACCAATGAACATATGAAGAAGCACAAGTAAATAAGCTCACAATACAAGTAATAAGCTCACAATGCAAAAGCAGCTCTATAATTTAGAGTGAACCATTTGATTTATAGAACACTAATATGCATCTGTATTGATATATACAGTAAAACCTGTCTTAATGAAAACCTCTCTCTAATGAACACCTGTATCTAATGAACACCTCTTCTCAGCATAAACTCCACTGACTCCTGTATAAAACTACCTCTCTGTATGTGAACACCTACCCATAGTATACACATTTTTGTGGCTCCATTGGTGTTCACTGTACACAGATTTTACTGTACATGATAAAATGTAGCAACATTACTCCATGCCCTATAAGTCATTATATGGAAAATGCTATTAAACGTCAAAGGCAATTTTGTACAAAGTGATAACTCTATATTAGTATGATATTACAGCCTTATTACGGCATCATCAACTTCTATTTATTTCCCTTCATCCATTATTGATGTAGAAGTTAGAACTGTAATAAGTAGTAATGATGAAGCCAGTTTTTACATATATCGTGTGATTATTTTAACAGAATTTTTGATGTATTTTGATATTTTTTGCCACACAAAGTTCTTTAAGGACTCATGGGCCACTGATATAAGTCGATAAAATAAAAACCTGTATTCATGATATTTAATTTTTTGAATATTTTTGTAATTTCTTTGATATAGATTACAACATAGGTTACCATAAATAATATTGTTATTGACAGTTTGACAGATCTACTGCATCAAGTTTTAGGTTTTTTAAATAGTTTTACCTTAAAGTTGTATCGAACCAAAGAAAAGACTATTTCACGATAAAGCATGAAAAACAAAAACAGTATTTAGTTGTACGTATCATTTCAATTCATTGAATGCAATTGCATATATTCATGAATAAAGTGATGAGAACGTGAAATCAAACAGAATTTAGGAAGTGAAGTGTATCATTCTCTCAATCATGTGATTTTAATTGACTGATTTCAGACCCATCTCCAACCCAGAGCAATGAAATTGTAGGATGGCCTTTTGTTTTTAGGTTTAATGAACTGAATAATGAGTATCAAACTTTAATATTTCTTCCCCAAGAACTTTCTACAATGTATTTTATTCTCAGCATACAGGTCGTTCAGATTCAGTGGATACTTACATCTAGAAATATCTTATCTGCAATGTTATTTGAAACATGAAAACTGTAAGTTTAACATTTTATAAGGGATTATCATTCCCATAGGAAATCAGAATCAATTCTTTGATTGATCATGGAGCTATAACCAGAATTATATTACAAACTCTTTCAATATTTTTACGAAATATTTCTATTTGCGCATTATAATGATATTGCTATATTTATCGGAAATTGGGGTACACATCTTAGAGTTGACTTGTCATTGAAGTCATACCCCTCCATGATTTGCGTTGTTTACAATCATGCTAGGTTTTAGAGTATGATCTGTGAAATGTTTAATATTAAAGGGAATCAGTCTTATTGAATTATGTAATGCTTTGATAAAAGCCAGAAGTGATTGAAGATAAAAGGCCAAAGACTATGAATATAATCACGTAATATGCTCATATAGTTGACCTCTCCTTAATCAATTGGTGTTTCAATGCTAAAATTATATTTCATTTCTATTAGTTGAAACCGAGTCCGAGACTGACAGTTTCAAAACAAAACATTATTTGATGATACATTGTACTATTGAATAATTTTGAAATGAAGTATTTGGTGATTGGTTTTCATATTGTATATTGGGATGTTTTATCCGATCACACTTGGTATCGATCTTCTGGTAATATTATGATTGTATATTAGGAGGTTTCAAGTACCCTTACCAAAAATTTCAGTGTGCATATGTGCCTAATATTATTTATGTTTGACTCTAAAAATGTTTTGTATTTATTTTGTTTATTTTGTGTTTTGTTTCTTTAAGGAACAGCTTGATATATATATTTTTAAATTCTGTTTACCAAGTGAATAAAAGTGGGGAATGTCATAATTTGGAAATTAATATCTTGTGACTGTTGAATTTTGTAGGTCAGGTACTAGAATATAGTATTAGGTGCCGCTGTAAATATCATTCTAGCTTCCCAAATAGAATAAATGAATGAGTTGTCTTTCTCATGTTCAGCTCTATAAATATTTTATGTGGTATTTCTTAAAGAATGTTTCTATAGTAACTTCAAAGTCTCTATATAATCTAACATAATCAACCACCTTTTCTTATCAGTGTGGTAAATCCTAATTTTATCTGTTTTTTTAATGTTCAATGTGTTATCGTTTTGGTGCAAATAGATTTTCAAATGGGGTATGTACTTTCTAAATTTCAAATGGGGAATGCAGCCTTAGCATTTTCCCAATATTATAATATGAATGATAATTTTTCTGAGAAATTTTAACAATATAACAGGTTATTTATTGGATTTTTGGGGAAGAAATTTTAGGGGGAGCACGCCCCTGGCTAGATCCGCTAGTGATAAGCATATGCTTTGTACCATGTTTATAGAAAATGAAGGACAGGGGCAAATTTCATTACAAGGTCAAATGAATGGAGGAGGTCATCTTAAGTACATGCATTCTGTGCGTTAGACTGCATGGTGTATTATCCTGAACTGCAGGAAAGTGAAAATGCATATCTTGTACATGCACAAGGAAGTGAAAGGCTATATAATTGACATTTCCTGAAAAACAAATTATGCTCAAACAACTTTTTTGTTCTGAAATACATATGTAATGTCATGTTCAGCCCTCATTTAATCGTACTTAATAACATGTACTTCTGTCGTGCTTGTGTAGATGTTGACCCCATATCTAGTATTTTAGATATATCTGACCTTTAACAATGGCTTTGGAGATGAACCCTTACATGTAGTCACGATGTTCAATAAATACAAGTACACAATACCCATTTTGTTTTTCTGACTTTTTTATGGCTGCAAAGAATCCAAAGATGCATTCAAGATTAAAAATGAAAGATAAAATTTGAGACTGGGGTTAGACTACGAGTTCCAGGATTGATATATCTCTAAAAATATCAATTGTTTATTTTTTGAAGTGTGAAGTTTATTTAGAGATATCAAAGATATCAGCTGAATGTGGTTGTGTCTTGCATCCAGACCCATATACCAGTCCCTCATTATCTCCCTAACAGTATACAAAAGAGAATGGGGAAGGGGAGGGGGTGCTGGGGCTACATGTGAGACTACTTGTCTGTTTTTTTTCATTGTACATCCATACTTTTTACAGGACAGGTTTAACTATACATGTGCTAAGAATTTGTGAGAAATGGAATCATTCTGTGTGAATATTTCATTGCCTCAGGTAAAGAGTCACCTGTTGCTTTGGAACATGTAGTCACCTTGTTTGCATTACTTATCATACGTGAGAAAAGGTAAATTGTACATACATGTATACTAAAATATGTATTAATTTAAGTAGGCCATCATTCTCTGGAAAATCAGATTTTAGAATGTAAATCTTGCGAAAAATTAAATAACAAAAATTGATTTTGAAATTGTTTTATCATATTAAAGAATCACCCTGTAATTGTAGTGTACCTTACTTTAGGTTATTTAACAGTTTGTTTATCCGAACACCTCTCTTATCCAAATAACTTTCTAATCCAAACACTTCTGAATATGAACACGTTTTCTCTGTCCCAAGTTTGTTATCTCGCATTGACTAACATGTTTATAAAACCTTGTAATGTGAACACCTGCTAATCTGAACACTTTTGGCTGGTCCCAAAGGTTATTGATACATGCCTACATAGTGTATATGCAAACACCTCTTGAATTCGAACACCCTGTAATGTGAACACTTTTTAAGACAAGGTCATATAGCTTATTAAGGCATGGCTAAATTTTTATTTTAATTTATATTATATTGTTTCGCTTGTCTGCTTCAGGGGGCAAGGGTGTGGATCCCCGATGCGGAGGAAGTATGGCGGGGTGCAGATCTGTTAGAGGATTATAAGGGTCAGAAAACACTGAAGATAGAATATGAAAATAAACAAGTAAGTGGGTTATATTCTTCTTTATTAAATAAATGGTTGCTGTTTTCACTTCTGAATTGTAATAACTGTATATATTGTATATGTGTTTTTTCTTCTTTATATTGAGGTTTTGCTTAGGATCTTACACTTCATTATATGTGTTTGATATATATGGAGATTAGATGTACATGGTTTTGATCTCATGTAAAAGTGCCACACATCTTCTTACTGTAACCTATGTAGAACACTGGCTGTGAACCACTGTTTGATCACATACAATCTCCAAGTGTTTATTCTAAGACACGTTTTTGCTTCAAATTTAGACAACCCTTGGTAGGACTGGACAACCTTGAATTAAGAAGAATACAAATGATGTTCAAACACAATTGTAAATTTAGCTAGTGCTTTACTTTTTGACCCATGTACATTTCAAAGCATAGAAAAGATAATGAACAAGAATATAATACCAGGAAAGTCTGCCAATTATATTCAATTCCATTTTTAAAAAGGATGGTCTGAACTTTATACGGTATTACTGGTTGCCTCTGCCTGGCTACCTGCTCCATGGATCAGTAAATTGAGGAGCCCAGCATTGGCTCAGCCCCAGACACCACCAGCAATTATGATTTTGTTGTCCATGCCTACCACAGGATGTTACTATATATGGCTTTTACACAGGAAGTATCTATGCTCTATTGTACCATGAGTTGTTGTAGCTCAAGTTATAATCAGGTCATGGATACTACCCTTGTTTTACATCACATGCTTTGCTTTTGTAATTGTAGGGTCGATTGACTGTAAGTACTTCATACTCTCTGCATTGCTTTAGCCTTACATATTTTAACTTAATTAATTTACTAATCACATATTTTCTCTCCCTGAACCCCTCCTCAGTACTGAAAGAATTGAAGGAGTGGGTGGGATAGTGTTATATTTTCTATATTCTTAACCCAGGATTCCACAAGCTCTAAACTGTTAACTTAATTCCACTGCACCAAATCCTCTTGTTATGTCACCTCCAGAAGTGGTGACATATTGTTATAATCTCCAACTTTTTTGTGAACAGTGTTTGGCAGTTGGCAGTTGGCATTAGGCTGTCGGTGTTTAGCGTTAGGCATCAGTGACAAATGGTGGTGACATTTTACATGTTAATGCCTTGTGTACATTTAGTACAGTCTAGTGCACAGTTAGACAAATTATTGAGGATCAGTGAATAGACATTTCTTGAGACTGTGCATTTGATTGTGTATATTTTAGAATATATGTTATATATTAATACACATTTATTTATTGCATTTCTGAACGCATGATAAGACATGTGAATGTGATATATCACATGATATAATACAATTAATATATCTGTAGCTTGTTGTCAAATTAAATACATAATTTATACATTCAATATTGCCTACACTGGTCAAAAACAGATCTTTAACATAATATTATCATGAGAAGTGTCAGCTTTGGGAAATCACTTGTCAGATCAGAAAACTTGTTGGAAACCATCTTGTACATAGGTTCTAGAAATGCTACATTTAGAACACAAAACAAGAATTACAAATCACTCTACTCGAAAAGAAAAGAACACAAACATGTTCTTTCCTGAATCATCTGAATCTAGTCAACAACAAAAATGATGCTAGAAATGCCAAATCTCCCAATAATATTTCATATGTTTGAAAAATTTTGTTATATTAAAAAGATGCATGGTAAACATATATTTTTAGACGTAAATGTTTTGTTAGCATGCATTCAAAATTATATTTCAAAAATATATTTCTGCAAGGAAAATCCTGTTACAAGATGCATGATTTACATACATTTTCTAGAGATAAATGTATTGTTAGCATGCATCTAAGATTATTATTAATCTTGCCACTTAAAGAGCATATTGCCACTTGACTAATACATTGCTTCATGACTAATATATGGTCATTTGACTAATACATGTATATTGCTATTTGACTAATATAGTTGTATGTACATTGCTACTTGACTAATACATGTATATTGCTACTTGACTAATATAATAGTATATATGTTGCTACTCTACTAATACAAGTATATTGTCACTTTACTAATACATTGCCATTTGGCTTGTGTATTGCTACTCGACTAATACAAGTATATTGCACTTGACTAATACATTGCCATTTGGCTTATGTATTGCTACTTGACTATTACATTGTCTATTGACTAATACATTACTACTTACATAATTTGTACTGTTCATGAATGACATAATAAAATCATTATAATGCATAAAAACAGCATTTTTATTTTAAACAATAGATTCCATTCAATTGATAAGAGCTTGAATTATCAGGGAATCAATTATTGAATTTCTTAACACTGTTTTTGGAATGGCATTTTTGAGTGAATGCTAGGAGTTGATTATTTGTTTTAATAACTATTCATCTACATATAAGTGACACAATTTCACAATCAGACCCTAAGAGCACAATATATATTTTGATATAAAGTTAAGCACAAAAAATAATTGCTGTTTTGGTTGTAACAATTCTCTTTGATGGGTAGATGTAATGTAATGGATGAATCCAAATATTATTGATCATCCACCTAACCTCGAGCTTATGTTTTTTAAATCAATTACTATTGTAACTGTTTTAAGAAGATATTTTTTCATTGTATTGGTGTTAATACGTATCCATACACTAGATTGCATATGTGGAAGTGATCTTCATCATTTATAACATATAGTTTTATCATTCGATGCCTAATTATGGTCATTTTATATTCTTTTTATAGCAAGAAGAAATTGCTGTAAAGACACCCGATGACCTTCCGCCATTGCGTAATCCTGAGATCCTGATTGGAGAAAATGATTTGACGTCACTGAGTTACCTTCATGAACCTGCTGTCTTGCATAATCTACAAGTGCGATTTGTTGATCTCAATGCCATCTATACATACTGTGGTAGGTCCCTTCTTAAGTTCTTACTGTGAAGCACTGAATCCAAACAGAAAAACTCAATATAATATTAGAATCATGATTTCTTTCCATAAGTACTATATATGATCCTTTCTACGATAAGCTAGGATATGATAAACATCAATTTATTCAATATAGCCTAATTTTCATAATGAATGAATAGCATAAAACATCTGTGTATTGTGATGACTTGTAGGAATTGTGCTTGTTGCCATCAACCCATATGACTCTCTACCTATCTATGGCAATGAGACGATTATGGCATATAGTGGGCAGGACATGGCCTCCATGGACCCACATATATACGCTGTTGCTGAGGAGGCATTCAAACAAATGACAAGGTGATATATCTAGATTCTGAATTCTAGCCTCAGATTTTTTAATTACAATGAAATATATTTATTCCCTATATTCGGATGTCCTGTTTTAACATTAATGTCATGATCTCAGGCTTGCTAGGATGATTGATAACAAGCATACCAGGATAGCATGCTTAGATTTATAACTGCCTGCAGTGCCTGAATTTTATATCATGGCAGCCACAAAAGTACATGTGTCATATTGTGGTAACTTGATGCATTTGAAGGAGTCCTTATACCTTCGTTCATATAGTTTGTATGACCATCGTATGGCGATTTTAATGTCCTTTCATGTGATGTGGAATATCAAGATCATCTTTTCAGAAACCCACAAACATGGATATTTCCCATTGTTGCCAAACAGCATAATCCCATAAACATTATAGTCTAACAGGCCTGTCTCTCCAGGTTAAACAGTTGAAGGTTGAAGGAAGTCTTCACTTACTATATGTCATTCAATTAATTTGGTGCTTTAGGTGTACTTGTACAGATCTCAGATTTGATATCCATTGATGCTATTGTACTGTCTGCATTACGTTGAATTTCACCTGACTTCCTTTTACGACCTTTCATCTTTTTTGGTCTTCCGGCAATTTTTCTAGACTCATACTTGATGCAAAGACAACAACTACTTTGATCATGTTCATGAAAGTTAAAAAGTTTAAATGGCTTTTTGTTTTTTGATCTATGGGCATTGCACATTCTATGATAACATCTTTGACATATTTTCTTGGGGTGTATATCACCAACGTCCTTACCTATATCAATTTCATAATATTCCAATATCATTTCTTTCAATTTTTCACAAAGAAATGGCCTTTTCTTAATGCGAACATCTGATCCCTTTTGTGCTCTTTCTCCACAGATTCGACATGTATTTTCTAAATACATTTCATGTTTTTCCATTATGATTATTGTTATGTTACAGAATTGATGCAATGTCTAAAGCTTTGAAAAATATTACAATAGTCCTATAGATAAGAGTTCTACTGTACACTGCATATACATATACTTAACAGTTTTGATTCAGCTGAAGTTCCTCTGTTAATACATTCCTTGGGTTCTTCCTGTTGAGTAAGACTAACAAAAAGATCTGAGTAAAAGTATGCCTGTTGTAGTTTTGATCCTTATTCTCTGTGCTTTAAAATGATGTTACTCTTGTTAGAATAAAGATCTAGTTTCTATATGAAATTCCTCTTTAATATCTAACTCACAATCAGCTGACCTCCTTAGCACATTGTAGCACAAACCAACTCTTGTTATTCTAGAAGGTGTGGAACATATCTGACTAATGGCCTGTTAATTACTTTGTTGACAGCTAAGACTAGATTCCTCTCAGAGAAATAGAGAGAAAGTTTGAACACTTCTAATTCTAATATAAGGTTTTATTGCAAGAGCTGGCTTGAACTTGTAGAGTTAGTAGCAGCATAGCCAGATGTTGTGATTAATGGCTTTTGAGTTTGACATTAATGTTGGCAGATTTTACAGGATTTGCAAAACATGTACTGTACCTCTATCTATCTACAGTTCTTTATACCAGAGATTAGGATGGGGGGGCAGAAAAAATCAAAACATTTGTGGGCCTCATTTTTGGCTCACACAGTGAGCCTATGGGATCGACCAGGCGTCCGTCCGTCCGTCCGTCCGTTGGTCCATCCGTCAACATTGGCCGCACAAATTAAAACTGCTATTCGGATTGAGTCATATCCACAGTCATTTTATGCATATCCATAATGCCTATTTGACCTATCATCGCCATTTCCCAAGTTCACCCGGTTTCCGAGAAATTGCTGATTTTGACGTCAAAAAGTCCAATTTTCTGTAAATACTAGACACTTTGTTGAAGTAGAACTTTCAAATAACTTGTAGTAGTTGCTGTATATGCAACTTATGTCCTCTGAAGATTTCAAAGCTCTTGGAATTACAGTTTTTGGCCCTTACTCTATAAGATCTGACAAAAAGTAGGACAGTGATTTTCAGGAAACTTTCTTAGGTATAAAGTCAATGGCAGGTTTTGTGATTGAAAAGTTTCTCAAAGTTTGCCTTATACTTGATCATTTCTTGCAATGAATTACATCATAACTAGATTTAAGCATTCCCTACATATTGCTCAATATATGTCAGCATCAAATTTTTACCGTTTTTGAGATATTTGACGTCAAAAAAACAGTAAAAATAAGTTATTTTTTAACTTGCTTCAATTTGACCAAATTTTTTTTTGAAAATCATCTATAAGTTACCAGGAGTTCAAATCTGAATTAGATTTAGGATTAGTTTTAGGATTTTACCTTTACTTGACCTTCAGTGACCTTTGAAAGGTCAAATAGGTTGATTTTTCAAATTGATTTTTGGATGTAAATTTTGGTCAGCTTAATCACAAAAGACCTTACTGAGCTCTAAATAAGTAAAATTTTCAAGGTCAAAGGTCATCAAACTAGGTCACACAACTGTGCTGTCCTGTCTAAGTTTCTCAAGTTCGAGACTACAAATCCAAATCAATATTTTTGTTTGAAAGTCAGAATATACATTCCTCTGAAGGTTCCAAACTGTGTGAGCACAGGACCGTGGGTCCTATTTTCAATTTTAGGCCAACAGAGACTAAATTTTCAAAATTTAGTCCTAATTTTTGATTTTAGGGACCCAAAGATTTTCTTCTTAGTTTTCAGATCCACCCCTGGTTTACATTAATATAAAATTGTGATTTTGAAAATGTTAATGCATACTCAACTTCTTTTTAGATTTGACAAAAACCAGTCAATAATTGTCAGTGGTGAGTCTGGTGCCGGGAAAACAGTCTCTGCCAAATATGCGATGAGATATTTTGCTCTCGTTGGTGGTAACGAAGATGAAACACAAGTTGAACAAAAGGTCCTCTCCTCAAACCCTATAATGGAGGTAAAAATGAAGGCTTAATATATTTGACTTCAGCTTTGACTATTGTGGAAAGTTATCTTATTTTTTCATACTTGTATGTTGAAAAAATCAGTCAGCTTGTCTGTTGTAAAATCCATGGTCACTCACCAACAGACCAGTGTTTGTGGTCCACCCACTCTCAGTATTTATAGTCCACCCAGAGAGTATATAGGGGTTATGCACTGGGAGGTTTTGGATACAGGGAATATCCCGAGGGATATACAATATATCTTCCCGAGGGACCGAGGGAAGATGTATTGTATATCCCAAGGGATATAGTGTGATTGTTTGATTTTGCAGTCGATAGGAAATGCGAAAACAATCCGTAATGACAACAGCAGTAGATTTGGCAAATATATCGAGCTAGGGTTTAACAGGAACAGTAACATCATTGGGGCAAATATGAGGACATACCTGCTGGAGAAATCTAGGTGAGTTTGATTTGGAATATCTATGGGATTCTTAATATGAAGATCTAAATCTGATTTGTTTCTGGGTATTCTGAATCAAAAATTTTTGATATAATCACCAATAGGTGAAGACATCTTTTACAATTACACATGTAGTGATATTTTGTAATCAGTAACATTTCATTTATGATAACAAGAAAAGACTAGTCTCGGTTTGGAGAACAAAGTTCATCAGTCTACTGCACATTACGCCTGCTTTGGACAATTTTGATGTTTTTTACATATTGTAGATTTAAATGTTCTCTTTTGTTGAATATCCATAATTTAATTTGTGTGTTATTTCTATATTTTTCATAAAAAAATTATTAGCCCAGTAGACTGATGAACTTCGTTCTCCAAACCGAGACCTGTCTTTTATTAACATTGACTTATTATTGGTGAGAGTTAAGCATTGTCCCTATTTATAAGTAGCTTGGGTATCAATTTACATAGCCCGATTTCAGAACAGATCACCTTGGTGGTTAACCTTTTCATTTTCTGGAAAAATATTAATATGAATCGACATCTCCCACAACCAATCATTTCTTAGTTTGGTGGAGATTAATTTTGAAATATTTCAAATATCATTCCATTGAAAATTAACCTTGATTTTTTGTAACTAGGGTGGTGTTCCAAGCCCAGGATGAGCGTAACTACCATGTGTTCTATCAACTGTGTGCCTCTGCTGATCTTCCAGAGCTAGCAGAGTTCAAGCTACGTAAGTGACATGATCTTTCAATTCTTTAACCGTGTTTACATTGTCTGAACTAGTGCCGACTAACTCCTCTTGTTGACTCCAATCTTCAATGAGAAATCTTTCAGTTTATGTGATTATGTTAAGGGTAAATAACTTTAGAAATAGAAAAAGAGATTTTTGGTCCCACCATCATGACAAGGGAGAAGTTCAAATGCAATCTGTCTTCCCTTTTTCCCTTCCGTTTCTTTCTTGTAGGGAAGAGGGTCTCAACATAGTATTATAAGACCTCAAAAGGATCAGGTGGTCTTCAACAATCTGCAAAAGATGTAGCTTTTAGAATAAGATTGAATATAGCTAAATTCAGATATCCGAGTTTTGTCTCTATTTAAAGATTCATTTTTTTATTTAGATAAAAGTAAAATTCATGTTTATACAAGTATAATTGGATTTTATGTGCATGTACATGTATTTTATGTTTTTAGATGATGCTGATACATTTTACTACACAAACCAGGGAGAGAACCCTTATATTGATGAAGTGGATGATGCAGCAGAGTTCCAGAACCTAAAGGAGGCATTCACCATATTAGGTATTTGCTATGAGAAACTCTTAATAGATTACAGTATCTTTAAAAATCAGTTTTGCCAAAGTCAGTAATTCATTTGGGGAAATGGATAAGCACTAAATAGTAGCTGTGACAGAACAAGTCATTGCTTTTGAAAAGCTGTAATTATTAGGAAAATTGATTATGAGTTAAACAAAATATATTGTATGTTAGGAATGCTTTGAAGTTGATCTTGTGAAAATGTCACAGAGAATATTGAAAATTGAAAAAGTTATCAGGAATAAAGAAAAGGATGACTTGTTTTGTCCCATCTACTTTTAAATATAGTATACTATGAATATACTTCTAATTGAAATTACCTGAAATTTGATTCACAAGGATGTTCAATGCATTACATGAGCATAAGTGTCAGAAGAATGAACCCAACTTGCATTTTTGTAAGCTTTGCTCATTCATGTCATCTGTAAACCAAACAGCATTATTTGACAATCCAAAGGTCTACAGGAACATTTTCTCTAAAAAGTGTTGTTCTTTTAACTTTTAGGAATAAATGAGAAACAACAGCATGAGATTTTCCGCATATTTTCTGCTATTTTACATTTTGGGAATGTTGTGATAGATGAGGGAGAGTCAGAGGATCAAAGTGTCATACAGGTAACCATGGCGACTGTTAAAAAAAGTATACGATTTTGAGAACATGATGTAACATTAATATTAGAAGCCCATTATATCTAGAAAGCCTGTGATTTCAAGAGTAATTTCTTTTTGTGAAACAATCATGGGATCTATAAATAAGATAGAATACATAACTTTAAAGACTATGTATTGATAAACATATTTCAACATGTTTTGTTCTAGACATCTATTTACATCATGACCCTATACTATAGCATGATATATTTAACATTTTCAGAAAGGGAATCCACATTTGGCAATAATGGCCAATCTGTTAGGAATAGACGAGAACCAGATGAAAATGTGGTTGTGCAATAAAAAATTTACCACAATGAATGAGGTCCTGATTCGTCCACTAACTATGCATCAGGTATGTCTTTAGTCCTGATTCGTCCACTAACTATGCATCAGGTATGTCTTTAGTCCTGATTCGTCCACTAACTATGCATCAGGTATGTCTTTAGTTCTGATTCATCCACTAACTATGCATCAGGTATGTCTTTAGTATGTGCTAACACTGGACTAGGTATGACTTGTATGTACTAACAATGCACCTGATACATGTATATACCTAGTACTGTGCTAACTGTAAGAAAGGTATATACACATACTTATTAGACTAAAATTATCATTCATAAAATGGCACATGGGGTTGAACTTTTGTGAAATAATAATTTGAGTACTTTTTCTTTCAGGCATTATTTGCAAAGGATGCTCTGTCTAAGCATATTTACTCCAAGGTATTCGATTGGATCGTTACCAAACTTAACAAAGCCCTACAAACAAGTGCCAAATACAACAAATTTATAGGTGTATTAGATATTTATGGGTATGTACACTCAAACATCTTACGTGTATATGTATTAATTTAAAAGAATTCTTCATTAAACCGAGACTTTTGTACATACCTGCAAGAAATCTGTGCTTAGTGATATCTGGTTGGTTCTCAGTGATTACCAAATGGTTGATTAAGTAAATTTAGTTTTGTAGAAATCTTGTAAAGTTTGCAGTCTCCTAATTATACCATGGTTAAAATGTGTATGTTATTTTGTCTGTTGTTTGTTTTTGTTTGTTTCTGAATTGTGATATTTGTTGCTGTTCTTTTTCTAGGTTTGAAACCTTCGAAATAAACAGTTTTGAACAATTCTGTATAAACTACGCCAATGAGAAGCTGCAGCAACAATTCTGTCTTGTAAGTAATAGATCCTATCTGAAAGGTGCCCATATCCCTTAGCAAATCCCATGCAACAAAATGGTGTATGAGTGAAAGAATATTCTCAAGTTCATCTGTATAATGTATCAACTAAATACTGAAATATATATTTTTATTACATTGATATATTTACATTAGCTAGCAATAGTATCATTTATAATGTATCAAAACGACCTACCATAAAACACTAAACAACAGTCCATCAAAATCCAAGAAAAAATATAGATATTGGTTATTCATAATTACTAAGTTTGTTTGTATTTCTTAGAGACCAAGTTGCATACATTCAACAGTAATTTCTATGTTGTACTGTCCTTGTTTCTATGTTGTACTGTCCTTGAACATATATGATCAATTTAGCGCATAATGTATTGGTCATTAAAGAACCCCATACACATGTATGTTCCCATCATTCAAGCAAACCTCAAGGGTTCAAGTTAAGTTGTCTACTGTTATTTCAGCATGTATTCAAACTAGAACAAGAGGAGTATGTCAGAGAAGAGATTGAGTGGTCATTCATAGACTTCTATGACAACCAGCCCTGTATAGATCTCATTGAGTCAAAACTAGGTATACTGGATCTGCTGGATGAGGAATGCAAGGTACAATAATCATCACACGAGATGTAATTTCAAGCACTTTGAAAGGCCAAAAAGTATACAAGAACAGTTATCACAATTCACAAACTTTCATTTTGTGATTGGATCATACATATAAAGTGATATATATTAACATATTTTATTTAAATACCAACAGTTTATCTATAGTGACTTACTTGTTCCTAATTATTGATTGTCTATTTCAGATGCCTAAAGGTTCAGATGCAAACTGGACACAGAAGTTGTACAAAGGATGCACAAAATCCAAGCACTTCAAGAAACCAAGGATGTCAAATACAGCATTCCTGATCATCCACTTTGCCGACACTGTGGAATATCAAAGTGATGGCTTCTTGGAGAAGAATCGTGACACTGTACTTGAAGAACAATTGAATATACTCAAAGCTAGTCAGGTGAGTGCTTTGAATATGACTGTATTGGGTCAAGGTCACAATGTCAACGTTGGCTCAAGTCTCTCTCCTGTTCAAAAAATATTTTTCCCACTCAATTTTCATTATTAACCCCAAATCCTTATCTTATTGTAGCATTGCAATGTATAATATGAAGCATTTTGCCAAACTTGGCCCTCCAAATAATGTCCAATCATTAAGTTTGCTTAAACCAAACTGAAACCATGTAACCACCTCATATACCCACTGTGGGACCACAGTCCCTACTATCCCTAGGCTTTAGATAAAGAGAGACTCTGGTAAATCAGAATGCCATATACCCAGTTGGGTGACTAAATTAAAATTGAAATGTTTTAGTATGAGTTGGTGGCTGAGTTGTTCACTGATGAAGGTGGTAAACCTCGCAGTGGTTCAAAGACCAGCAAGGACAAAGGCTTTGCAATCAAGGGAGGTGGAGCATCTAGTAGGGCAAGCCATAAGAAAACTGTTGGATCACAAGTAAGTAGATTATTCTGATTCTACCAGTTTGCCTTCATTGAGTCTTGAAAAGACCATCAGTTAACATTTTGTTGTTGACATCATTTTGTTGTTGACATCATTCATGATGACATCTGATGTTAAGTATAACATGTCATTGGCTTTTTCATGTCATATGAACTGTAACATATGATTAAATGAATTGAAAATGAATGAATGCAAAGATGGACAAATCAAAGAATGAATAAAAGAATATCTGGATGAAATAATGAAAGAAGCAATTGTTGCCATAGAAGAACAGACGAATGAAGGAAGCTACACAAACAAACATACACATACATGCAAGAAGGAATCCAGTTTGCTTGTTTTCCAGAATGTTTATGTTTGAAATTAATAAACTTCTCATTGGTTTTAGTTCAGAGATTCCCTCAAGCTGCTAATGGAGACGTTGTTCTCAACAACACCACATTACGTCAGGTGTATCAAGCCTAATGATCTCAAGGCAGCATTCACGTGAGTTCAGTCTAAATATGGAAATTTTTCCGGAAGAGCATTCAGTCTAGAAATTCAAGATGAAATAGATAAATGCAGAGTGCAGAGACCCTTCTTTGTCATTTGTCGATGATCAGATTGAGTCAAATCAAAGTGTTTTCTTTGTTTTTATTATATTATTTATCATGATAAGGAAAAAGGCCCATCAAGGCTGACTCAACATAATAGAAAATAAAGATTATATGATTAAGTTAAATTGCTTGAGATCTATTTTCTATTTAAGATACCATATATGCCAATTATCATTGAATAAAAATGTGTAGTACTAGTATCATAAATGTACCCTTTCAGTCTCATATCTCTGTTTTCATTAGGTTTGACAACAAAAGGGCTGTACAGCAGTTAAGAGCATGTGGAGTACTAGAAACTATTCGTATCAGCGCAGCTGGGTATCCATCAAGGTAGATCTTTTGTAGTTATTACGATTTTATTCAACAAAAGATTTAGACACCAATCTCCATTATAGGATTGCATTGACACATTGTACTTACATTTTGATGATATGGTAAATCTGCCAAAGTGGAGCACCTTTGGAACCTCTCAAAAGTGTACTACTTGGGAGGTGTTCATTTTACATCAAGTCAGTTGGTATTGGAAAAGTGTTCCACAAACAGAGGTGTTTCACTTCTTAAATGATTAAACACAAGGTGCACATGTGTCTCGAACTCGCAACCTCGTGGTTATGGCACCCAATTGCCTAGCCTGAATGTGCTGGCGCTCAAGCCCTCTCGGCCAATTCGACAACCCCAAAAAAAGTTGTTTTGTCAGTCGATCTGACTAGAGGCAGCTGATGTTAATGCTCAGACACACCGGAGGAAGCACCCTTCCCTATTTTTTTATATTCCCCTTTGGCATTTGTGTTCCACTTCTTGAGGTGTTCCACTTTACAGGTTTCGCTGTATTTGGTTTTCAAACCTGGAGTTTTTAAGAGTAATGCCTCATACTTCTCTCAGGATAAACCCCGTATCCAAAACCCCCCAATACCCTGTGTATTCACTCTTACTTTTGCATGTTTCTAGATGGACATACCAAGATTTCTTTGCCCGCTATAGAGTTCTTGCCAGACATAAACACATAGACAGGACTGACATGAAGAAAACATGTGTCAATATTGTATCAAATCTTATACAGGTATGGTACTAAATATATTCTATACAATATGCCTTGTGCGCTTATAAGTGGAGCACACTATTATCAATGTTCTTTTTATCCATTGTTGGTAAGAATGGAGTTCTTTAAAGGAAACTGGATTGCATGAAGTTATACATTATAATTAGAGATAGAAGCACATAGAATTACCCACATAAATGGAATATATTTGATCTGTTTGATGGACATATACTATATGTTATGTGGTTTGTTTGCTTTATTGTATTCTCCAATTTACCTCTCATCCATTCAGAACATTGCATACCAGAATTGACCATACTATATGCCTTGATTTCTGGTACTAAGCCCATAATGGGATCACAGTGAGCACACTCATCCATGCCATGTGAAAGTAACAGTTTTAGACGATAAGAGTTTGGTGTTAATGTTTACTGTTGTTATTAAAGCATTTTTCTTAAAAATGGTTTATTGGTTTTGATATTGATATTGGTATTGATATGTTCTGCTACAAACACACACTGATTTCACTCTTTGGAAAATGGATGGTTCATAACACAATGCAGGGCTATGGTTGGTTGGCAGTTTAGAGAATTAAGAGAATTTGAAAATGAATCTTCATATCTAACTATTGATATTTATCGTTATTTGAAGAAATTCTGCTCTGCATGTAATAGTGTACATACAAAATATTTAATGTGATTGTAGCTTTATTTACCTTGAGTGAATGTACAAAAAAAGTTTAAGGAAAAATCTTAAATCTAATGTTGCCAAGTATTCCTAGTGTTGTTACCTTAGACTATCTTTGCATACTCAGTCTTCACTTTGCTCAGCATTCTGCATTCTCGACTGACAGGAGCTGAGTAAGCGAAAACATCCTTAGATGTTTTGCACTAAATTGTACACACAGTCACTTCCATGGATGGATTAGAAAATTTTGTTTTGTGAACTGAAAATCTTTTTTGAGTGTATAAATGTTTCTTTAGAAAATGTGGATTATGTGTAGAATTAGTGTCAAACAATTCTTTTATTCACTGTCATGTCATATTAATACTAGAGCCCCCTATATACAGCAATTAAAACCGATGAGAGATACCAGGAAATAGAAAGGGCATATAGTATAATATGGTCTGAATTCAGAGTTAGTAATCTAAAATCACTGCCTATTTCATACTATATAATACTGTTTGCACATCATTGGATCGTATGATAGGCTGTAAGTATATGCTGTGGTGTCTTTTAGGGTGTATTTTAGGCCTATGTGGATCACATGTTATTGCATGCTCTTCTGCTTTTATGTTCAGTGGGATGTCAAGTCTGAGGCCATCAGTGTAGAATTTATATGAGTTTATTTTCTCCAAGATTTTGTTGGTTGGGAGTAAAAATTATGGCTATTGATATGTTTCTGTATATGTGGCCAATTGGGCCTCATTAGCTTTGCATGGCTTATGAAGAATTTACAAAAGCGTTAAGACATGAACTAAGATGTTTTGGAAAATTTTGAAGGCATTTGTTATGTCCATAATCTTGTCAACTTTTGATGACTACATGAATAATAAGAACGCTTCTTATTCAATTTGTTGATAAATTATTTTCAATTGCCTTGCCATTATTTGTTTGGTTTATTTACATGTATTGGCTTTTAGGATCCTGCTATGTAACAATTGGTCAATGTATTTTCATGGGATGATTACACAAAAACTGCATAATGAAAGAAATCCATAGTAAACCTTTGATAAACCAATTTTTATTTTTGTGCAGGATAAGAAGTCATACTTTACAATGATCTTTTTTGGAACACTCTGAGCAGTTTGTAGAATTTGAGCAGTTTGTTAAATTGAATTTTTTGCTAGTCAGAAACTCAGTATAATAGCAAGACTGATATATATCTAATATATATATGTCTGATTAAAGTTTGGTTCTTTTGTAGGATTCAGACAAATATCAACTTGGAAAAACAAAGATATTCTTCCGTGCTGGCCAAGTGGCGTATCTGGAGAAGTTACGTTCAGACAAACTGCGGGCCTGTGGGATAATGATACAGAAACATGTCAGGGGATGGCTGCAGAAGCGACGATACCAGAAGATCAAGAAAACTGTCAAGTTGGTGCAGACATATGGACGAGGACTCCTTGCGAGAAAGTATGACTTTCCTTGTTTAGTAAACTATCTTGTTTCCAATGGTGAATTTGTGTGCATACGAGAATACTTTTTGATTTATTCATTATTACACTGACAAGGGATGGTCTATAGTATTTTCTGATAAAAATGCTCTTGTACTGAGTACAGTATCAGGGACACAAATTCTTTTGTTTTGCCATTAGTATAATGGAACAAAATTATATAGCTAGCTATAAGTAATGTCATTTAACTGTATTGCAGACAAGCATTGTTCCTCAAGCGTACCCATGCAGTCACACAGATACAAACACAGATTCGACGTTTCTTGTGCCGCAAACGGTTTATACAACAGCGAGAGGCAGTTATGAAAATACAGGTTAGCCATATTTATACAAATTTAGCCATATTTAAACCTTTACTTAGCTCTACATGAAAAAGTCAACCCACTTTGGTGGGAATCGACCCCACAATCCGTCAGAATGCTCTACCTTTTGAGCTATGCAGCAAGCTCACCCTTCTCATCCACAAACTTGCCATTTACCAAAGTGTGACCTTAAGGTAAAGGAAATTAGTCTAATGTCCATATGAGAATGAGTATACCATAGTGAAATCCAACTTGTTCTATCCAGTGTATTTAGTTATGCCTATTTCAGGGTTCTTAAACTTGATAAAAGTGCGCACCTTTTGCCTTTCAAATAAAATAATTTCCAAGTAAATTAACATTACAGGCTCTGGCAAGAGGTGTGTTTAGCAGGAGAATGTTTAAGGAGATGGTCAGAGAGAACCGAGCCGTTAAAATCCAGACACAGATTAGAGGCTTGCTTGCACGTCGTCGCTTCAAGATGGTGCGTAATGGCATAATCAAACTACAGAGTCACTACAGACGTAGGAAAGCTAAAGCGCAGCTTAAAATACTTAAGGTAACACAGCTGAGATTTTATAATGTATTTAACCTAATATTTTGATCATTTTGTATCAATTGAAATGCAAAAAATGCATACTTTTTATTATCTTATGTTAAAATAAGGTAGATAAATATTTCACAAATCCAAAATCAAAATAGATTTCATTGCTCATATATAAGAAACATTTCCCAATATCCATCAAAAATAAAATCATTTAGAAAGATGCACTGCCTTATTCTTCCATGATATGCACTACTGACTACATGGATGCTATTTTATTCTAGATTGAAGCCAAGTCTATTGATCACTTCAAGAAGACCAATAAGGGACTGGAAAACAAGATCATAGATCTACAACAGAAGCTTATGGAAAAGGTAAAGAATCATGGTTCAACCTCTTGAAGAAATTAAATTCCCTTTACACTTGAAGCCATATATTTATTATTTGAATTTGGAATATTTGGACACCAGAAAATTAATAATAAAATAATGATAAATACAATAATGTAATTAAAGCGACCAGGGTTTACTGAAAAAGAGATATGAAATGGTTCCACATTCCAACACTTTCATTGCTCAGTCACCTACATAAGTGAACCGTCCATACTCCAGAATAAGCACCTTTTCACAGAACACCTTTGCAAAAATTATTCCTGTATTTTATTCATTTGTCCCTATCTTCGAAGTTTAGGTTTAGTCTATTTAATTGTGTATCATTTATTCTACTCCAGAACAAGGTAAACACACAAGCCAAGGAGGCTGAAGCCAAAGTGCAGAAGATGAAAGCAGAGCTAAGCAAGCTCCATGATGTAGAAGTCAAGAGTACCAAATCACTAACCAAGATTGAGGAGTTGGAGAAACTTGTGGCGACTCTACGTGAAGAACTTGATAAAGAGAAAGGAGAGAAGGATACATTAGTATCTGAGAAATCAACGATGCAGAACAATTATGAAAAGGTACAGATATAAATCTGCCTATACAAAACTGTAAATTCATTTTATATGTAAACTCACATTAAAGGCCAGAAAAGCCTTCTTAAGTTTTTATTAACAGGTACTATTCTAATCAGCATTAAACTGGAAATTATTTGCAGTATTCATAGGGTACTGCTATCAGATTGTTTCTTAGTATATGCATGGGCTTTCAATACTATTGAATGCCCATGGTATATGTTTATTTGATATTGTAGATGTTAAGTGTATCTAATGAGGAAAAGAACAGGTTGAAAGATGAGCTGGATGCCAGTAATGAAAAGCTGAAGCTGGAACAGCAGAGGAATGAGGGTGAGTGTACACTACAGGTTGATCACAAAAGATAATAATTATACCATAATGATGTAATGATCAGAATGTCTTTTATGACACTTTATGATAGGTCAATGTGATATCATTTTGAGGCAATAGACAATATAAAAAAAAGACTCCTCATCTCTCAAGGAAAAGCTGTACATTGAAATACAGCTACACACCAGAGACTTTTATACGAGTTGTGGATCAATCAGTCAAACACCCAGAATTACATGATGCACAAGCAGAATTTGCCCGAACCAGGAATCAATCCCTTGGCCAATCAATAGTGTTAAACGTTGCTCTTTCAATGAGTCGTATTGGGTGGATGATAATCCAATGATATGATTATTCATATTTTGAAAATGTTTAAAGAAATTATATCCATAATAAATTAATAATGTTTGCTTAATTGTAGAGATCCTCAAAGAGAAGATGGAAGCATTACAGAAAACCACTGCACATGAAACAGAAGAAGACCGTGCCCATCACCAGAGACTTGTCAAAGAGAATGCCAGACTCCAACAGAGGTTTGAGAACCTACAGAGTGAGATGAACATGATGCTGCATCGTGGTCACAAGCGAACACCCTCAGACTTAAGTACCATAAGTTATGAGTCTGAGATCAGCGAACGAATGGCTGAGCTGAAGGGGGATGATGTTTCAGAGGTATGTAGCTTTGAGAATATATTAAGACCACCATAAGACCACCATAAGGCAGAGTTCTTCGATTTTTTCCATATTCACTTATGTTAGTCTTTATAAGTTGTTATTTGCACCAGAAAAAATTAATCATTATCCTTTAGGATTGCCATATTTTTATCATTTATAAATCGAACTTGTACAGAATGTTTATTTAATTATATGCACATAATCATTATTTCCATTACTTTAGGATTATGGCTATGGGTCTCAGCAGCGTCAAGGTAGTTTCCGTCGTCGTCGTGGCAGTGTTGACAATGTTGAATGGCAACAGCAGCAACAACAACAGCAGCTGCAGAGTACACCAGGTACAGCTCCTAGCCCAGCTGTTAGTTCACCAGGCAGTACACCAAGTCCTGTAGAAAATGGAGAAGCCAAGACTAGCAGTAAGCAAGCTCCAGAAAGACCACCTAGGGCTGGTGAAAAGGTACAGTATAAATTCATATTCTTCCAAATGAGTACTGCATTATTATCAGTTAAATGGGACCATGTTTTGATATCACTTAAAGTATACAGTATTGCGCATGGACTTAATTGGCAAAATGTGAAGAATGTTTTGAATTATATTTCCAAGAACAGGAGATGGCAAAGTTTGTATACTGTTCTATTTTTGGGTGTATATTAAATGACTAACTGTGAACAATTAAACAATAACATTAAAGTTATAAAGTGCTTTAAACTCTAGCATTTTATTCCACAGGGAGACAAGGAAAAACATGTGGACACTGCTCTGGTGGTGAAACTACAGAAGAAGGTAAAGGAACTAGAGAAAGAGCGTCAGAGATTGTTGAGAGAGTTGGAACGTAAGAGTGACTCCACTGAAACCTCACAGGAATCATCTTCTGATGGCATCTATGAAACCATTAAGGTATGTAAAGTAGCCTCTCAAAGCAGGTGTAATTGTCACATCCATTGCTCAAGCTGAGGATTGGAGAATACTGATTTACATGTGGACCCACCGATCTCAGTTCTCTCCCTGCTAATATCTCTATCCTCTTAGGGTAGGAAGTATGTATGTAAGGTGGGGGTTCAAAGGACTAACTTAAGACTAGTACTGAGCCTGAGGTTCATTCCTGATACAATTGTAACTTTCGATTCCAAGAAAGCTTTTGTCTACTGTAAGAGGAAAAAAATACAAAATCAGAAGTTATGATATTTCCAAAAATGGATCCCAGGGTCACACCATAGACTCCAGTAATTTTATTTTTAGATTTTTAGACCAGTCTTATTCCAATTTGGCTTTAGTCCACAATGAAGTAATTCCATGAAACAAAGATTTCCAATTGATCTGCAACAATATACCCAACCGTGATTATTGATACATTGCTATTGTTCCTATAGATCCAAGAGCTCGAGATGGAGAACAGCCATCTGAAGAAAGACCTAGCTAACATGAGAGAGAGCATAGCAAAGAGTGGGCTCTTTGAACAAGGAACTAAAGCAGTAAGAGAGGATGGAGCTGGCAAAGATTTCTTAGGTAGCCACTTATTTCTTTTATATTTTATTTCAATTTAAATTCATTTGACTCTTTCTGATGCCAGTCATTATTGTTTAACTGACAGTCATTCTCATATGTTTTGGACGCCCAGTATAATGTACAATGTATAAAGGTATAAAGCAGTTTGTTCAGGATATTAGGATCAGGATCATCTACAATTACAATTGTTGATGACATTTAAATTTCACCTCCAATGCTTTATAAAAATTGATCTATTGGCTATATTAATATTCTATCAATATATATTAAGGAAGGCAGAGGTCCTAATATACTGAACAGACCCCCAGACCTTTACATACAGATATAAGCTCACTCTCCAGTTGATTTGTTTCAGGAGTTGTAGAACTGCTTGTTGGTAAGAAGATAGGATAAATTGAGAGTTTATTTCATTATATGTTTCTTTTATTACTAATTGCATCATGTCCACAAACATGAAGGCCAAACTTGAAAATAATCTCCATTTTTCTGCCAAGGAGTCATTTCTAGTTTTCTCATAATATTAAGGTGGGAGTTGTGCAGTGATTTCAATACCTATTTTCGGTATCCAAATTTATGTATCATTTTACTCTCTGCCCACCTTAAGATGGAACAAACACATTACGAAAGAGAGCTGTAATACAATGGAGATTAAGATTCAAGACCTATTTGAGTATTTTTAGGGTTTTCATGTTAATATTTGTTACACCGAATGATGTTAAGCATTTTCTAACTCTAAATAATTGCTTCTTTTAGAGCCTGTCATCCAGAGTAAGTTTTCTAAAGTATTATCTATAAGGAACATAGTGCATCGTGTCTGTTCTCAGTATATGTATACAATTTACAATCTAATTCACAGAACCAAGAACTTTGCATGATCTCTCTCTTCAATTACATGGTATAAATGCCAATTTCTTGGGACTCTGTACCAGATTGTATGAACCACTATAATAGCCAGTGTTCTGGAATTGCACTTCATTCCCATTCCTTGCAAAACTAGGACAATATTGAGTTATTGACTTATGTCATCCGACTTATTAAATTCTCTGTGCCCTAGAAAATAAAATCCCTTCTTTACACCTTTGATAGTCCCATTAACCTTGTTGATTATTCTACAGATTATTTCATTAATGGTGAAATTGAAATGAAACTAAATATAAATCAGTGATTCAAAATCTGTTCATCTCATCCCTCTGAAAGATTGGGAGATTGATTGTTACAACCCATTACTGAACAATGTATATGATATTGACCTTGAAATATTCCTTAGTTATACACTATTTCATGCTTAATCCTTTCAAACTAAGGCACAACCCCAATCTTATTATCAATATTCATTTTATATCCATATTGAGATTATAACAAAACTCCCTCCTTATATGTGTAGCCTCACACTGGATCATAACACTGTAGAATAAGTCCTATCAAGTCTACACAATTATCCTTTGTCTATAAGAAGCATCTGTGGAAAAAAACATCCATTAATTACTGGTAACCCTTCGTGTATGTACATCCAGTATATGACATTATTTTCAAGTAATCGGAATACTACGTGCTTCATTTAAAATTTGACATATTTTTCATTTGACATTTAGGTTTATACCGAGAAATGATAATTTCATGCATGGTTTTATTGCATGGATTTAAATACAAGATGAATAGTGAAGCTCAGATTTTGGAATGATCTCATTTTAAGAACTTTTATTCAGTATTTAATATTCTCTTAGGTATAAACAGTAGGCTCAGTTGCATGATATTAGTTTATTTTTCTTTAATCAAACCTTCCCAATAGTCCCAATTTGTCATTGAATAAGTGCTATCTCATCTATTATATTTATTTCAGTAGGGGAAGTATGGTACACCAAAAAAATCTTGGAATTTCAATTTCTGCTGCACATGTGTTTAAAAGGCGCTATGTCATTTTTGTAGCATACATTTACATTCAGTTTTGTAATAAAATGATATGCCCTGTCAATGTATCTCACCAGTATTCCATCTGATTTGGTTAAATATAAATGATCAAGAAAAATGTGTTCAAAATTAAACCTCAGCTGAAGTGATTCTCTCTTATGATTCCACTTTACAGCCTTCCAATGTATCTTGAAAAACATTTTTATCAAGGTATACTTTACATAAACTATGTTCATTTTAGATCAATTCGAAGCAATGGTGGAGGAGCTTGAGAGACGACGTGAAGAGTGTATTCAGCTGCGCTCCCTATTGGCCAGTCGCACTCGAGGCATGTCAGATGTCTCAAAGGAGAACTACGGAGACACTGAGATGGTGAATGAGGATGGAGAGCTTGAAATGGCATACAAAACGCAGAAGGATCTTAACAGGTATAAATATTTAACAGATTTTTTCAAATAGGCTCTGTTAACAGGTAATTATTCAACAACTGGGGCCATACCAAGGTGAGGAGATATGGTAGTTTATGTAAATGGTTTGGGAGGAATCAAGCTGAGAGGCTTCTCCATCTAGATACATTGGGACATACTAAAAGTATATCTAGTAGTGGATGTGGCCTCATCTTAACCCCTAAACCTGTGCATAAGGTTACAATATAAAAATACGTTTTGTGTATTTAGACTTCTAGAGAACCAGATTCAGACCATACAGCGCAATGCCAAGATTCGTGAAGATGAAATCAAGAAAGAGCTCGCTGAGGTGAAGCAAGACAATGACAGACAACAGAAGCTGATTGGTCAGGTAAGGACTCATTGATTGACTAGATTTCATTCATAACTGAGACATATCGTATATATATTCCAGTTTCAGGCATGGAGCCATTACTATTTTCTTTGTCACTGTGAAAACTGCATGGGTAATTATACCTGTGTGTATTACTAATAATTACTGTAGTGATTATATTACATGTAGTTTTCAATTCAATTTATATGTTCAAATAAATATGCACCACTCCCTTCACTTTAATATTTAGTATTAGTCTCGAGGCTCATAACATCACAAAATGAAAAGAATGTTGAAAATGGGAATGATTATGTGTGATTCACGTATAATTTTATTTTAATTTTTCTCTACAGCTCAATGCAGTAACAAGTGTAGGTATCATTCTCTAGGATAACACTGTTGCTGAATGTTTGTTCAATGTTAACCATGATAGCACTTATTCATTAATGTTAATTTCTCATTTATTTAATTTCAAACATTTCTAACATACTGCTATTCCAAACTGACACAAATAAGACAAAAATGTCAAATAAAAAGTCATGTGACTGTTTAAGTAACCCCGTGATTGTAAGCTTCAGCCCTGCTATCTTAGAAACTGGGTGGGAAACACAAGTTACAATGATATGACAGGGGTCTCATCTTTCATTAGTAGGGGCCTGTTCCAAGATAATGCTAGGACTAGCCCCTATTCAACCCCCCTGGCTGCAACCACATTGCCAACTGCTGTAACATTCCATTTCAACATTTCATAACTGTCCACTTTTAACCCAGCAAATGGTTGTTTATTTGCATATGCTTTTTCACGGGCATGTACCAGTGACAAAACCCTTATTAAACGAGGAATCACCAAATTAATCTTTGAAATAACTGGTCTTATTTTGTTACCATATCATTAAGTTGTTTATAACTAAAACCACATTTTAGTGTTATTTTACAAGAAACTAGTGCTAGTTCTCTGTTGGTATCCGAGTTTCTATATCCAAAATAATATTCATAAGTTAAGATATGCCAGTGGATTGATTTGGCAGTCAACTTGCATATGGGCAAGCATGATAAAAATATGGCCCACTAACCTTCTGAATTGGATCTAGAACCTTACTGTTTGATGATTCACTCGTGTATAGTATATTGTGGTTTGTAATTTAACTGTTGAGACATAGAGTAGTTGTTTTTTTCACATTAATGTGGTAATGTTTTAGATAATGTTTTACTAGAGATTATTGGAGAGCAATTATTTATGTAATCCGAAAATTAGATTATTGTCTATATTCTATATTCATACCATATTTATTATTTCCTGGAGTACTGGACTTTCCCTTAACATGATGTGACCTAAGTGCGATGTTGACATTGCTTTACATCAATAATTTTGAAGTTGAGGTAGATCACCCCAGTAATTTTCTTGTTGTATGCAACTCAACATTGTTTGCCTTTTTAACATAAACAAGAAAAGTACTCTTCGATATGATGTGTATTACACAATAACAAATATGTCTTGTACAGGGTGAGTCAAAAACGTTACCTAAAAGATCTCAATTGGCTTTGCCAATTTTTGACCTCGTACCATACAATTTGGTACAATAAAGCTGTATTCCATGTAACATCATTGTGCTAAATAACCCTTCATCTGTCTGTCTAAACTCACATCCTATGGATATAAATATGAATGAAAAGTATTACCCTTTTCATAGTTCAATCCTAATTTGTTTGTTACCTTTGCCAAACTGTTATTGTATATTAGTTTGACATGGATCCAGCTCATATTTCCTCAAAATAGAATAATTTCATATTATGAAAGTTTTGACTGTTTGTTTGGGTATAAGGTTTTTTATGTCACCCTGTATAATGCACAATTCATATCTTGTTGGGAGGGTCAGTATTTTAAATTACCACACAGTATTGTCCATGGGTTTGGGATTTCGACATTGTACTTTGTCAGGGACTTTTGAAATGCATTTTCCCATTAATTATAATTTTGTCCAGCTATTATTGCTCCCAAAGTGGTGAAATTAACTCACAAGGTTGCTCCCAGGGCTAGGAATTTGACAGTCAAATTTTAATTTGGCAAAATTGCCACCTCTTTCAGCATGGGAGTCTCACATAAACATTTCAATATTGGGTCTTGGTCGATTGGTTTTTTGGTAAGAATATATGATACCCCAGTTAACTGTATCAAGTATATTCCATTGTCTCCTGAAGGAGAGACTTCTAACATTATGTAATTTATCTTTCAGAATCTGTCTCTGACGCCTACTGCTAAGATAGAGGCCACAATGCAACATGAGATCACTAGGCTCACTACAGAGAACCTGGTAAGTTAAGAACAATTACTACACATTGTCAAAACACTGGATTATGGCCATGTTGATAAACAATGCTGACTCACTGGCAGATCTTGGGGAAAGTTTAAGGCTCCAATAAGTGGGCCTTTTGGGCATTACTGAGCCTTTTAAAGCCTTATTTTTGAGTCATTTTCGAAAAATGTGTGTCTTGCCTTTGTCTTGGCTCGGTTTATTTTTAATTTTGCCCAATTTTTCGAAAATAATGCCAATTTTATAGGGAAGGGCCCTCATGTCAGGCCCATGTGTAGGCCATATGTGGAAAAATATCTACAATTTCCCTAGCCCTAACCATCACACTTTACAATCATATGGGTAAAGTGGTCTTATTAAATCAAAGCATGTTGCATTGCAAAACAGAAAAATATGATAAATATGAAAATGACCTCATAATAATGTCAATTATGACATCATATATTATTGAATGTTAATGTAACAGCCATTGGCATGGAGATTACACTTGTTTGTTTTACATTCTAGGACCTACGAGAGAACAGTGACAAGCAGAATGAAACCATCAAGAAATTGAAGAAAGCTCTCAAAATATATGCCAAGAGACTCAAGAGTGCAGAAGGTAAAAACTGGAAATAATTTTTTTTTGTCCCAAATTAATTACTTTTTAACAAGTAATTGATTTCTCTGTTAAAGCTTATATCAGAGACATATAAAACTGTTTTATATGTCTCAGCTTATATGAAAGAGTCACTCTATCATAGGGGGACTTGAACTCATGATCATATTGTAAGCTGTTATATTCTTGCATGTATCTATCACATACTCAGCTCTCACACTTGCAAAGACATCTTCCATATAAAAAGACATGGCCATAAGCTAGATACAAGGCATAACTTGATGTAAAATGCCTTTACTGTATATGATTTTTGTGTCAGCATCAATAAGAAGTGTCATAATTTATTATTTAATTTATTATTATTCACTTCCGGTTGCAATGTACACGTAGCATAAAATAAAGTAATCGGTGTAATTTGTATTTTCAATGTGAATAGGAGCACCTGAATGTTCTAAGTAGGGATATATCGTGAGATAAACGTTTATGAACTAACTGGGAATCATTTGGAATCATGGCAGAGGCGAGTCAAAGCAAAATGACGGACTTTATAACGAGCACTCCTTCGAAAAAGATTGAACAAAATGGCGACGATGACATAGCCAAAAAACCACATAAGAAAAGGACAAAAGTAGACAGGAGTGGGCTTAAAGATGAGTTTAGTGAGAGCGATGATAGTGAGTTTGAACTGTTTGATGATGCAAATGACGATGATGATAAGGAATCCGATGAGGAAATGTCCAACAAGGACCTTAAAAAATTCATTACAAAAATGTTCATGAAATTCGATGACAGGTGGATTAAAGTTCAAAAACGAGTAAGTACGATTGAAAAGAAATATGTGTCATTACAGGAAAAGCATGTTGTTCTTGAAGATAAAACAAAATCACTTGAAGAAGAGATAAATCAACTTAAGTTGGACAATAACCACAATAACCAGTATTCAAGAAAGAACAATATCAACATTCATGGTATCCCTGAATCCTCAAGTGCAGAATCGGTCGACCAATGCGCTGACACTGTCGTTCAAACGCTTAATGATAAACAAATCCCCATAACGAGAGACATGATCGAAATAGCCCACAGGGTGCCCGGACAACCCAGAGCTGGTACCACTCGCAAAATTATCGTGAGACTAAAACTTCGAGGCCACAAAGATGTAGTGATGAAGAACAAAAAGAAGCTGAAAGGTTCTGATATTCGAATATACGAGGATGCCAGTCCCCTCAATGGTAAACTGCTTTATGACTTAAGAAAGCACGCAGATGTCGAGAGTTCCTGGATGAACAATGGTAAAGTTCTTGCCAAACTAAAGTCTGGGAGGATTAGGCCCTTTTCAATTCTGGACCAAGTAGGCGAGGGCTCAAATCTTGCCTGAGTCCAAGGTATGCCTATCTAACTCTACCAATGTGATTATAGTTATACTCAGCTGACACTGATGTCAAACCACAAGTATTTTCTGCCTACAAACTCTTCCAATATCAGGGAACTCTACTAATATAATTGATTTATCTTGATCTCAAATTGTTCTTTAATGTGTCTTTTACTTACTTTGATCATAACTGTTTCAATTTAATATGAACTTGATATATAAAACTTGGTATGTGTATAGGGTATTCTGTGCAATTGTTTGTTTTGACACGTGACCTAAAGTACATGTCCTATGTTCAGTACAGCTTGACCTTGGCAACACTTCCGGTTCAAATTGACATGTAATATTGATATCGGTTATGGCCGTTTTCGAGTCAGTAAGCACTAAGCATCAGTTCATGATGTCATCAATGCCATGTATAAGGTAAGGTTGTCTTTTATATTTACATTTTGCATATGTGGATATAAACTTTAGAAGGTACATGTACTTAGCGGTCAATTGTCATAATTCAACAGTTGCAGGTACAGCATTCGTAGAAATTGTTGACAACGAAAAAGTATTTGTGTACGTATAAAACCGCGTGTTATGCTTGTACATATTCACTGTCCGTCAATGGACAACATTATTATATACTGACATGTAGTTATTTGACTTTTCTATTTGGCTCATTTCAGTTCATCAATTCTCTCCAACTTTACATGTGTGTGTGTTATCGATTGATTTGTTTTATGTGCCCAGGTTTATCTGAGAAGCGGTGAATTTAGTCTGTAAGGGGAGCGTATACTTGGTTCAATAACATAGGTTGAACACGTAGTTCACGAGCGGGAGGGGGGAGGTTGGACTGGAGCCAATTATTTTGTTTACATTTTGTCTGGCTTTGATACAGTGTACAAATCAATTGGTTTGGGATATAAAACTCTCCTGTTGCATCATTCTACAGGCATTTTTTAGGCAGCTGTAAATAATAACAATTATCTTATTTTGCTGGGTGTTTTCTATTCTAGTAGTGATTATGTAAAATAATTAGAAGCACCTATTTACTTCATTATCTACTGAACATTGTATGTCATTACATATGAATGTTTTATTTAAAACATTTTCCTAATGTTAAAGGGATGGCAGTCCCCTGGGTTCTACTGATTCATGATGATGGGGGTTAGTTTAATGACTTGGAGGTGCAGAATAGGTGTATTTAATTGTGTTAAAGTAAGTCAATCTGACTGCTCCTTTGGCATAAACAAAGTAGGGATATCAGAGTGGTTAAAACACATATGTATTCAACATGTTTATATGGTATCCATTGTAGTAATACTTTGTTTATTCTTTCTGTTTTTTCCAATAGTGTCATTGATTTTGCTTACAATTAGTGCCTCAGTGATGATACATCTTGTAGCATTGTTGTGTGTATCATGCATCCTAAAGCTCATTTGTCTAAATGCATGCAGCTGTCTTTTATCAATTAGATGTTTGTTAATGACCACCATGGTTATATTTACAATTCTACTGACAATTCCTGGAATAATTCCTTTTGTGAATTTACTTAGTCCATTCATAATCAGGCAACTTTTGTTACTTGCTGGGGATGTTGAGGTAAATCCAGGTCCCTTAAACAAAGTTAACGTGTTATTTACTAATATTAATAGCATCTCAGCGGATAATAGAAGTCGGTTTGAAAGCTTAAGTATATTTTTGAAGGAGGAGGGGGTCCATATAGCTGGAATTAGTGAAGTGGGGACAAATCTTAACCTAGCTGATTATAACATAGATGGTTACCACACCTTGAACCAAGAACTCTATAATAACTCGGGACGCGGGTTGCTTATTTACATCCATGAATCTATTTCATATAGAATTCGCAATGACCTAAATAATGCAAACCTAGAGTGTCTCTGGGTTGAAACTAAGGTAAAAAATGAAAAACTTCTCTATGGCCTCTTTTATCGTTCACCCTCCCAATCTGCAATCTCAAGAGATCAATATATGCATAACCTTGATTCGAATATTAGAGCTGCTTTATCAGTGAAATCTGACTTTGTTATCTTTGGTGGCGATTTTAATTCAAGAAGTCAAAAATGGTGGGTTGGTGATACTAATACTTTAGAAGGAAATATGCTTTATGATGTGAGTGTGAATAATTCTCTGACCCAATTCATTGAGGAACCTACTAGAATTACAGCCACTTCTAGCTCATGTTTGGATTTAGTTTTCTCAAATTTTCCTGGAAAGGTATTAAAATCTGAGGTAAAACTGCCAATTGGGGGTTCTGACCATAGCTCTGTTTCAGCACTTTTAGATTTCTCTCTGCCTGATAGACATGCAGGGGATTATAAGCAGATCTGGCATTACAGTGATGCTAACATTTTACAGTTGAATCAAGCTGTATCTGATTTTAACTGGGATGCACTTTTATCTCACGAAGACATTGATACTGTCACTGTAAATTTTACCAATGCATTGTTTGAGATTTTTCAAACTTATATTCCATCCAAAGTGAAAGGAGCAGGTAAGATATGGCAAGCCATTTTCAAAGGGCTATATCTTTAATTCTAAGAATATTTTAACCACAAAAACAAATGGTTCTGTTAGATCCATGCCTTGTCTTCAATAAATGACAGTAGGATAATAATCAAGTTGAATGGATTATCTCTTAAGCTGTTCCTAATCCAACCATCTTCACCAATTTTCCCTAATTCGGACGCAATTTTCACAAAAAATGCAGCATTTTATTTCAGCTTTTATGGCAAAATTACAATTTATTGTAAGGAATGATCTACCTCTAAAAAGGAAAACTTGATTACTTTGGGATTAGGATAATCCAAAAACAATAACTTTTTTGGGCCGAATTTTTCACCTAAAAGTAGCAATTTTTTAATGAGATTAATGCATGAAAACATTGAACTATGTCACATGATTGATTTCCAAAAAGAAAAGAAATGAGATAAGCATTATCTGATAATCCATTTGTCATTTTTACCTCATAGGCCATGACCTTAGTGTGAAGTGTATGAAAAGATGTCACTTAGATCGACATTTAGATGTACCCTATTTTATGCAATCATGTTTATAGATAGAGTTATATATGTTCCATAGATGGCATGATATATTCTACATGGGTGAGTGCTAGATACTCTGTGTATTCATTGTTGCATAATTGCGTATTATAGCAATGAGCATGGATATGTCAACATGACTGGGTCGTGTAAAGTATGTACAGTAAAACATAAATATGTTTAACACCTAGTAAAACACATAAGAGGAAATACTTGTTTATATATTTGAATTGTATAGTGTAAATGAATATTTGAAATATTACACATTTGCGATGTTTCAACAAACATGATTCAATACCATCTTATTTGAATTAACTCTTCCCATGTGTATCTTTCTTTATCATCAACCATATTGGGGGTTTCGAAAGTGCCTTATGAAAAGGAGTTTGCTGTAAATGATCTTTCGAATAGTGGTATATGTAGTAGGTATTGATGCAGGTACCACTGTATACGGAGTACATGCAAATAATAATTTTCTCCAATGGTTTGGCCAAACATTTGTTGCATTTTTTGTTCATTTCAAATTTTATTGGATTGTTTTTGCTGATTGGAATTTTTATGGAATAAACAGTTTAATGCGTTGG